ATTCTCTGCAAAGAGCTGTATTTGAAAGAACTATTTATAATTATAAAAGTAAAGCAGTTATCGAAATAGGCACAACTTAGCATGAATACAGTTTTTTTGGATAATAAAATTAATTCTTCAAGGTCTGACGAAACCGTTTATGCTCTGAAGATATCTCATACTTTCTCTTAAAGAGCAACAATAAAGGCACCACTCCAAAAAATTCTGGATTTTGTTATTTATTACTACCATTTATGTTCCTAATATAGAACTGTTTATTTCAGAATGAAAGTAAGATTCACATTTTGGGAATGGAAAATATGACTTCTTAGATTTACATTTTAAACTCACATCAATCACACAAAAATAGAGTAAAATCCAGTAAAAGTGCCGATAGAGACAGCTGCGTCGGGCCTGGCCTGGGCTCTAACAAGTGCTTGCTGGAGGAGACCCCACGTTCCCCCCAGGGCGGGCGGGGCGTGGGGTCGGCGAGGCCGCCCTCGGGGACGAGGGCTCGGGAACCACCAGCAATCGTGCTCACGCAGGAATGGGGGCCCTTCCTTCTCCAGGGGAGGGTATGATGTGCACGTATATTTTATGTTAAAAAATAAGCAAGATAAACTTTATCTCTAAAAAGCTGCCCCCAAAGCCTCAGACTTAAGTTGTTCCGTCTGAACAGACTTGAACAGCTTTATAACCTGCAATCAAATTATTTGTCTTTAATTTTTCATCTTAATAATGTACGGACTTCTATCACCTGTAAAACTGCCAGGTAACAGGCTTCACCCAAACACGGGAAGTCAGGACTCACCGCCTCGTCGAACAGCATCGACAACCACCGAGCTCACGCTGACGTGGGTGTTCTCGGCCTGCGTGTGACTGTGCGTCTACGTCATTGGTATTTATGGGAAGACAAGGTTGGCCCCATGCTGCACACGACAATAGTGCCGGTTGCATCTCCCGGACAAACTCGAACTCGCCACACATCAGGCCTAAGGCTTCTGTGGTGTCCACTGGGAAAGTCAGATTAAAGGCTACCGAGTTTCGTTTCCCTTCCCAGCTGATGTCACTGACTCCATCAAAACCAATGTGCTTGGGCAAGTTGAACAAACCCCCCAAACTGCAGAAAACCTGGCATCTGCTGCTAGTTCTCTACGTGTAATCGAAGTCTAGACATCACGATAAACGAACGTGGAATCAGAACACAGGAAGTCTCTCAAGGACCCCAGAGCCCCTTTACTGAAGGCCCCTCTGCACGGCTGTGCTCTCCGGAGGGAGACTCTGGCCCTCTGTCCAGGAGTGCGGCTCCCGCTCCCCCTCCACAGAAGGGGAGGGCGGCCCCGCGCCTCCACACCCAGCCTTCCCGAGCTTCTCGGGACAGAGAGGCGGGACGGAGGCACCCCTGCAGAGCCCCGGGAGGCCACCCCTCCCACCCACTGCTGGGTCCCTGAAACCACGACCATCGTGCGCTCACTCGAGAGGCCAGCCCACAGATGGGAGGAGCAGACGTGCGCCCGACACCCACCGCGTGTCAGCACGGTGCTGGCGCTCCACTCGCTAGTTCATTTAAAAACCCCTCCACCCACGAAGGGGGAGGTGACCCCGTCCACCCCCCTGTTGGCGATAAGGCGGCTGGGGCTGGGGCTCTGCTTGCGCCCTCCCCACCCCCCCCCCGCCAAAGTCCCCCGAGTCCGGGGCGGCAGAACAATGCTGGTGAGAAGCCAGACTCCTCCGGCCGCGGCCCCGCCCCCATGGCCGCCTACAAAAAACGCTGTGTCAGCCCCAAAGCTATTTTCTCCGCTGAACCAAAGAGCAATGACTCATAGCTGAGTGGGAAACCGCTTCCCCTCGTTTCTGAACAAGGCTGCACGAAGCTCCAGGACCACCTCTCTCTGCCCCGTGCTCTGTCTGCTCTGTGGGCCAGCGCCTACAACGCGTGGGTGCACACGCATGCACAGCACACGCGTGCACAACACACGCACGCGTGCACGATGCATACGGTTTTAAAAGTTCTGGGTCTAACTCTCTTTCACTAAACAAAGGGAAAAACCCACCAGCAGACTGGACAAAAAGCGGCGGAAAGTTCTAGCGAGCACTCCATTTCTAGTCCCCCTTCACTCCCTCTCCTGCGCACCCCCGTACGGTGGCCGGTGGGGGCGAGGCTGCGAGTTCACCGCGTCTGGGCTCCAGAGTCTGGGTTTGGCAACAGCTTCCACTACCCATGACACTTTGCTGTAATTACCTACAGTATACGCTACGTTTCCAGAGAGTACATAAATAACATCCACTGGTTAGGCATGAAGACGGGAAATTTGAGGCTGAGGAAGTGCAATCACAGGGTGCCGTTCTGAGAAGCGGCAGCCCAGCGCAGCGCACCGCCTCCCCCGAGAGCCGGGCTCACACACAGAGGGCCCGACGGGCCGCGGTGCAGACCTAACACTCCGCTCTGCCGTCGTCCTTCCCGGGAAAGCCGCGGGGTGAGGACCGGCACTAACTAACGGCCAGCCGACCCCGGGCACCCACGTGCGACCAGTACACTCTGATCCGTCCCCGCATCGGTACAAAAACTACTCAAAACAAATCACAGACCTACACGCGAAACCTCAAGCTGCACAAATTTCAGGAAAAAAAGTGAGAAAATCTTTGTGACCTTGGATTAGGCAAAGATTTCCTAGGATAACAAAAACACAAACCACGCAAGACAGCTGGTAAGTGGGACGTTGTCAGCGTCAACCACCCCCGCCCGTTGGAAACCACCGAGGAAGAGGCAGAGAAGGCAGGCGGCAGAGGGGAGGAGACACACCGAAACCGCGTGGTGCCTTCTTTAACGTGACGCACTCCTTCCTGCGGGAAACACACTTGTTAAACCTAACCGGATTTTTTCTTTTCTTTTTTTTACACTTACACAGAGCTTAGGATAGCAGCTGGCACCTACTAAATCACTGAAGACATCATCATCATCATCATCATCATCTCTACTATTACTTTTTTTTTCTGAGTGGCTTATTTTACTTATTTATCTTTTCTTACTGCTGCATTAGTTCCACTACACTGAATCACACCTGCCCACACCCCGCCCCAAACCCTGGTGAAACAGTCAAGAAGGAGAAAAAAAGAGGCTTCGACAGGGAGACAAGCTGTGGACGCCTGGGGCGAAACTCCCCGGAGAGCGGAAGGGACGGCAGGGGCGCGCGCACCTCGGGGTGCAGCAGCCGTGCCACTGTGGGGGGCGGGGGCACGGGGGCCAGCTGCAGGAGCAGGCAGGCCGTGAGGGCCTCGGCCGGGTGAGCGGCCCGTCACGTCCAGCAGCGACACAGTCAGCGGGCGGTCACTCCCGGAAGCCTCACTCCTTTCCTTTCCATCTCGGCAAGGACAGGAGGCACAACCCGGGGCCTGAGAAACAGACTCCTTCCCCGTGACACAGCCTGTGGTCTCTGTAGTAAAACCCATTCTCTGCCCCACCGCTAACATGAGGAGGACACAGGACGTCGTCTCCAGCGACCACGTTCTGAGGACGCACAGCCCCACCCTCCCTCTCCGCTCCCCGGGAAGCACGGGGCTGCGGTCGGAGGTCGGTCGGGAACGGAGACGCCCAGCCGGGGCCCCGACGGCGGGGGGGGTACGGCTTCCACGAGGACCAGAAGGGGAGCAGTGGCATCCACCACCCTCCGGCAGCACCCTCTGCAGCACACGCACGAGAAGCCACTTCCACACAAGCAGACACGGGGGGGGCACCCACTGAAAACATGCCACCCGCCTTCCCCTGCCACGATGGCCCTTCCCAGGCAGGACCGTCCTCGCCCACAGAGGGCGCTCCTCCCCGGGGACACAGACCGCCTGACCGGACGGCGCCCGCGGCGCACGAGGCCGCCTCCGACATGCACCCCGGTCTGGACCGGGCGGCACAGCCGGCACCCTGCCCCTCGGCGGTCAGCTCTCTGTGCGTTACAACACCCCCGCAGAGCGCACTCCACGACGCACAGGGCAGCACCCTCGTCTCGTCCGCCACGTCCCGTCTTCCCGGGGCTGGACCTCACTGCTGCGCCCCCTCCTCTCCTCCCTCCTGTCCCCTCAGCCTCGTCAGCCCACGGGGCAGCTGCCCTGCTGCGGACGTGGCTGCACCCAGGGCCCCACCCGGCGTGTGCGGGGCGGAGACCCCGAGGTGTCGTCACCGAGAACCGCGAACGCGGGGCAGGCCGGGCTGCCTCGTCTCTGGCCCCAGGCTCTGGGCTCCTCGGCACTGACACCGCAGGAGGGAACCCAGGGTCTCCGAGCGGCGGTGGTGACGGGACACCGGGAGGGCGCCCCTTGCTCTGCTGCTGGAGCACGCTCACTTACAACCACAGAGCAAGGGAAACCTCGGACACACACCACCGAGGGATTCCAGCTCCTCCCTCACCCGTTCCCGGTCCAACACACGGCACAGGCATCCACGCGGGGCACCCCACAAGCGTGCGTCTTCCCTTCGGAGGGAAGACAGACGACACGCCGTGTGCTCCGTTTGGTCACCACTTGTGACATCCAAAAGCCTCGTGCGGACGCGGACGCTGCGTGAGCTGAGGAACCTCCACCACCTCCTGCGCCCGCAGGCGCCGGCGTCACCGAAGCACAGAGGAGGGGGCGGCGTCTCGGGGCCACAGAGCGGACGCCCCACGGCCACCACCCTCACGGCCCACGGCTCGCCCGGCACCCGCCCGGCGACGGCGACATCTCATCACCTGACGGCCACCCCCAGGCCTCCACAGACACCTGTATGTCGTCACTTCTCCTCCGGCAGCACACACGGCGCGGCCACGTGGCCATAGGGACGGCAGACACGTCAGCAGGGAGTCGACGCTCCGTCGGCGCGGAGCCCCCGCCTGGCACCAGGACTGGGCGCGCCCTCAGGGTGGCGCCGGCCCGGCCCGGCCCCGCTCGCCCCACAGCCCCGTCCACGCCAGCCGCCCCCCGGGGCTCTGCCCCGTGGCAGGGGCCGCGCGGGCTCCCGGAAAGGCGTCCCCCCCCCTTCACAGCGCACTCACCCTGCGAAACGACACGACGTAGAAGGTGTCCCCCCTCCTGCGGATGGCGTCGAAGAAGTCCTGGTGGCTCTGGGGGGAGGCGCGGTACACCTGGAGCTCGCTCCCCGCCCTCCTGCGGGAGAAGGAGGAGGAGGCAGTGTTCCCCCACGGAGCGCCACGTGCCCTCGGGGACACGCCCCTCCGAGCCCACGTCTGAGCTGTAAGACTCTCAACCAAAACATTAGCAGCATCTCAGCAGGGTTTACAGCAACACTTTGAGAAGCCCGAGAGGTCAGGGGATCTGTGAGATTCCGTGGGCTGAGCTAGAACTCCGTTCCTGCCTCGCGGCTGCAACGCCCCCGACAGCCACGGGCGTCACTGAGACCACAGAAGAGCCACGGCCAGCACGACTGCCCATTTCTGGCAGCGAGAACAGAGTCTGAGGACAGCGCCGCCCACTGCGGTTGGCCCTGCGCCGCCCCGCCTCTAAGGCTGCGGGGGTGCAGGGGGTGCAGGGAGCTCAGGGTCCCGAACACAGCAGCCTGGCTCTGAGTGCCTGTCCTCGTCCCCAAGGGCATCCGCGGGGAGAGCCTGTCGGGGCCACTCCGGGTCCGGGTGAGATGGGACGGGAAGCACCTGCGGGGCCCCGCCCACGGGCATCTCCCGGCAACCGCTGGTCAGACGTGGGAAGTGCCGCAGCGGCCCCGACACCACGGGTTAAGGGACACGTAAAGAACGAATGCTTATTCTTGCCAAACACAGCTTACTTTTCTCCTCTGACATCATGTTCTTTCTCAGTTTCCACGAACCTTTAGTTTTCCAATTTCTATTCACTTAAGAGGAGAAAAGAGCGGCCCAGAGGAAAGTCTGCGTGAGCCGTGACAGCTCCCTCTGAGATCACGCCGTGTGCTCCGGGGCCACGCCTGACGGTGAATCTGAACACGCGGCCCGAGACTCTCCAGGGCGTCCACGCTCCGTGCGCACGCTGAACCCCGCTCTCCTCGGGAGGAGGGGGCTGAGGTCCCTGCCGGCTCCCGGCTGCCGCGTTCTCACCCACAATCAGCGTGCAGCTTGCTTCCCTGAGACACCGTCAGGAACGCGGGCGTGTCTCTCCCGGCCACAGGCCCCACGGTGGCTCGGGCCAGGCTGAAGCCCCCGAGACACGGCTCGCACTCCAGCACACGCGGACCAGGGCAACTGCCAGCAAAACGCACAGAAGTGTGGAAAACACGGCCCTGCCACCCCTGCAGAGGACACCTGCGCCAGGAGGCAGGGCGGGCGCGGCCCTGCTGGCCCTGCTGGCCCTGCTGGCCCTGGGTCGCACGCCGGAGGGCAGGCACGAGAGCACTTGGCTGCACTGGGTTGCAAACACGTCCCCACAAGCAGGTGGACTCCCGCACACAGAGCCCAGGGGCAGCGAGGACGGCCCCCACCTGGACAGAGTGCCCGCCCACTCACCTGGCGCTGGGGGTCTCCGTGTACTGGACGGCCAGGAGCTGCGACGGCGGGCCCTGCGGCAGTGCGCCCTGGAAGAGAACAGCAGCGGGTGCGGCAGACGGAAGCGCGCGAAGGCTGCCCTCACCGACCGGCTCTGCAGCCACAGGCACCGAGCTCCCACCGAGGTGGCCGCGCAGCGTCCCTCCCGCCCAGCCTCACGCACTGCGTGTGCGCAGCGCGGCACCAGCCCAGAGACGGGGCTCCTCCGGCCGCAGTCGGGGCGCAGAGGCGCCTCAGAGGGACCGAGGCATCTGAGACCCTTCCCATCAAGTTTCTGGTTTAAGATCCCCAAAGCTTAGTTCAGGTATTCCAAGTTTTAGGGCCAAGTCATAAAAGCATTGTTGGAAAGATAACAATTTACCCTTGCCTAAAACAATCAGTTTCCCGATGGAAAGTTCCTGAAGTGTGGAAGGTCCATCATGAAGCCTGACCCTGCTGTTTGCCGAGGCGGCACAAAAACCTTCGTGCCCAACCCCACCCCCCGCCCCCGGGGTCGCAGTCCCTGGACCCGGAAAACAGCAGGCTGCAAAGCACTGGCCGACGGCGACGGCAGGCAGAGAGAAGCTGGAGACGCCGCTGGCCTACCCAGAATCCACACCCCTTAACAGAGAAGCTGAAAAACCAGCCGTGAGCTTGGGCAGTCGTAGCCACAAGGACTCAGCCAAGGCCGCGGTCGGCAAGACCGCGAGGCAGACAGTAGCGTCAGAGCTCACACAGGCCTCCGGCTTCGCCCCGAGCGCCTGGCCTTGAGGGAGCCTCGGGGCTCACACACGGCGGCACGGCCCCCACCGGACAGCCGGCTCCGTGCGGGCGGGACCCGGCCACCCCCGGCACTGTGCTCCCGGGTCTGCGCCTCAGAGGAGCGACAGACCCCCGACGAGCGACGCAGGGACAATGTGTGGTGCTCTGCAGCAAGCGGCACCCAACTCCGGGTCCACACGAGAGCCGGCGTCCACCCGCAGGGCTCCCCAAGCCCAAGGACAGTCTCCAGAGAGGGGCCTTCCCTCCCCACCTGCCCTCTGTGTCACCACTCTCTTTCTGAAAAGCCCCAAGAACAAAGAACACAACCGGTGTTACTGCACTACTCATCACACCGTGTTTGCCACAAAAAACATTCGATGTGGGAGTCGTGACAGTGGGTCTGCGGACGAGAGCAGGAAACAGCGGTGGCTCTGCAAGGAACCCGGGGTGCGCGGTCCAGCCCCACACCAGTGGCCCCGGGCAGGGGGGCAGGGACCGTCGGGGGCGGCCCCCCCACGGAGCCAGCATGCTCAACTGCCGCCAGAGGGCGCGCGCAGACTTACCTGGAGAACGTGGGCTTTGGGCTGATGGGTCGTTGTCCTCCTCGACTTGGTCCTCTGCACCTCGTGTCTGTGCACCCACCACCGCAGCTCGTGGTTCAGCCTGCAAGGCAGCTCCGGTAAGTGTGCGCGTGGCACAGGGGTGAAGGCCAGAGACAAGTCTGACCACACCCCACAGGCTCCGGAGGGCACTCCAAGTGCCCGGGGGCTCACTGCTGCTGCCGCCTGGAGAAAGGGCAGACGCAGCTAAGCTGCTTTTCACCGGCCGTCAACTGTCATGAAGTGGCCTCCTCAACCTCCAGGGCAAGGCGCAAAGAAAACCGCACCTGAGCACCTGCCAGGTGGAAACACGAGATGCAAAGGTGTTTCCACAGGAAAGTGTCTCCTGCCTCTGCCCTGGGCCGCATGCCCGCGTCCAGATGGGCAGGGGAGATGGCCACAGGGTGTCCGACAACGACAGGTGCGTCACCACCTTTGAAAATCGCCTCTTTTGTGGGAAGGGAAAGAGCGAACTCAAATGCTCGGGAGGAAATAGAGATTTCAAGGCACCATAATCCGAGTTTTCCAGTTTTCCACCAGAAATTTTAATAGCCGAGCTCTACCAAAAGGCCCTTTACTTCCCCCACTCCCTGGAGCAGCTGCGAAGCTGCGGTGACTGCGTCCACGTAGCCGCAGTTGCTGTCAACCACGAGACACGAAGTGGGCTCTGAGGTGCGAGGACGGGGTCCGAAATCACAGAGACGTCCCAGGGAGAAGCAGGCCAGAAGAGGCGCGCCCGTGGGAAGTGTCTCCGGGGTCACGCGTATTCCAGTGACCGCCTCCCTGGCACCTCGGTGTCACCGCCCGCCCGCCCGACGCACACCCCGAACTTCCACGTGAACATCCCTCTGCGGTTTTCGGGGGGACGTCTGGGGCCGCACCCCCACCCCCACAGGAACGGAGGCACCATGCCTCTGAGGCAGACGGGGGCCGTGACGAGTGGTGGCTCAGCCCCTCGGCACCCGGCCCCCCCAGCCCGCTCGGCGACACGCACCTGAGGGACTCCGTGGTGTTGATCAGGGGCCGGCACGGAGGGGGCGGCAGGTACAGCACGGGCTCCTCGCTCAGCACCATCAGGGCCTTGTCATCGGAGACGGCGTGGTGGTACCTGAAACAGACGTGCACAGACGTGTCTCCCTGCGCCCGAGCTCCCGAGGACTCTGCTGTGAAAAGGTCAGCACCCGTATTCCCTTTTCACGGGCGCAGAAGCATGAGGAGGAGCACCCGCTGTAAGACCGAAGCAACGCACAGACCGCAGAGCACAAACGTCACTTCCCGTGGTTTCCTGCAGAGAGACCATGAGGCGTCGGACAGATGGACAGACGGACAGACACAGACGGTACGCAGAGATGCAGCCTCGGCCCCTGGGGCAGAAAGGACGCCGGTGCTCCGGCTCCAGACCGGGGGACCTGGGGGCACAGGCCGAGCGAGCGGGAGCCCCTGGGGTGGGGGGGCAGCAGGCCCAAACCCGCAGCGAAGGCAGCAAGTTCCCAGGAAGGACGGACCACAGCCGAGGGCCAGGGGGGAGCGAGGGAGACGAAGACCAGTTTCCACCGCGTTTGTCAACGCTGACGCCACCGCCCCCCATCGACAAAGGTCACCTGGTGGAGGGAAAGTGACCGGAGGTGTGAGACCGCCCGCGTGCCCCACCCCCAAGTGAGGAAACGCCCACACCTTCCCCACAGCCCAGCCCCGCCCGCCCGGGAGAAGCACTGGGGACAGAGCGGACCGTGGTCTGCACAGGTCCCGGCTGCGCGCACGCAGGCGGCCCCACATCAGCGCTGAGATGGAAGGAGAGAGTCGCCTCGTCTTGCACCGGTGGACTCTGGGCCCAGGACTGGCCGCCCGCCGCCCTGAAGCCCGAGAACGCAGGCCAGCCCCCGACGCATGACTTCAGACACCGGGGCTGCATGCTGCCCAGACACAAACGCTGGCGCCCACCACCAGGCAGGTCCAGAACCGCTTCTGAAAATGCGTTTCTGGTCGCTGATTCTCTCTCCATGTGATAGAGGCTAGTAACGATTTCTGCACATCTGTGCTGGCTGGTTTTGTTCTACCAGCCAGAAACGCTCTCTGGAACAGAGAGAGAAGTCCGAGGGAAGGAATACCAGGAGAGGAGAGGCCGGGCGGAGCCGAGGGGAAAGAAAGGGGCGTCTCGGTCAGCGTCCGTCCGGAGACCGTCAGGCCCGCAGCCCACGCGGGTCAGGACCTGGGCACACCCGACAGCAGAGCCCAGGGCCACCCTGGGGGGAACTGCAGGGCGCAGGCCGGGCTAGCTGGGGCCTTCCGGGGGTGCCCGTCCCCTCTCGCTTACGGGCGGTCCTGATCGGAGCCCGGCAGCCGGCCGAAGCGATGACACGCACCACCTTTCCTTCTCCAAGGTGTCCCCGTGTGGGTGACGAGACTCACCGTCCTCTGATTCTGCCCCACACAGTTCGGACACCAAAACAGATGCAGTTAACTATGGAAGGACAGTAAATACGGTACTTATCATAAATTACAGGACTGGAATCTCCTTCTTAATTTGAACCAGGCCTCACAGCTCTCCTAAAAAATGAAACATAATACGAGCTGCATTAAAAGAATTACTGCCAGTGTCATGGCAGAGGAAAAATAAATCACCTAAAGTTTCACTGGAAACAAATCCGTATTTCAAACGTTTTGCAAACTTTGGTATCTTACTCAGTATCATAACGATGGAGGCAAGACAGCGACTTACTAGACTGATACTTCCTTAAATCTCTGTTATTAAATAGCAACTTAAAGTTACTTAACAATAATCTTAGAGACTTCAAGAGACTTGTATGTAGCCAAGAACCTACCACCTCCCCCACTGTTACGGAGACCCCCAGCCCACGTGGTACGTGGTCATGGGGGACTCGGGGTGGGGACGGAGAGATGGCCTGCACTTCACGCCCTACTGTGGGAGCTGGTGAGTGACAGCCAGGAGGCCGCCCAGACCTGAGGCTCAGCCAGGACGACCAGAGCACGTGCTCTCCGAGAGTCCCTGTGCAGGCCACCTGAGCTGTGACATGCCGTGTCGGGTCAGTGACTGTGTGTACGGCAGGGGCACACCCTCAACTCCATAAACGGAAACCCTGCTACGTTTAAAGCGTCACTTTGGAAGGATCTCACACAGACAACGGAACTCAGGGTCCCAGGCTGGGGATGGCGAACTTGAACAAATAACTTGGCAAAGCTACAGATACTGTCAAACCCCAGAGAGGGGCAGGGACACCACGAAGTGAGCAGTCAGCTCAGCTTCCAGAAGTCAGGAGGTGCCACGCCATCCGACACCCCAGGGTCAGTCACGCCCACGCACCGCAGGGACCCCTGCCCCACACCGCACAGTGCCGCACAGCGCCGCGTCCTGGAAAACGCGCACTCCCTGCGGCCCGCGGCCCCGAGGCCCGGACCGCGCGCTGGGGTGTGGGTGTGATGGGGACACGCAGCAGGGCAGCTCCCCCTGCCCTGTGACACTTCACGATGAGGGGGATCCCGCCCTCAGTGACACTCACGCGTCACCCTGCGCCGCGGCGGCCCCTGACCTCCCTCTGCCTCGCTGCCGAGGGCTGCGCTCCATGGGGCTCCGGTGAACCCCCCGAGCCACACGGGGAAATGTCCGTCAGAAAGGGCGCCGCTCTGAAGATGCCCACGAACGCCACCGAGTGGCCGACTTCCAGTGAACACAACAGGGAACTCCCACCTGCACAGACTGCGTCTTCTGCTCTAGACAGGCAGCGTGAAAACGTGTCAAGACAGCGTCGGGCTGCACCGAGGGAGGAGGAGGGGTCAAGGAGCACCAGCGGCAAGCACGGACGGCCCGCTGGCGGCAAAGAGGCTCGCCCGCACCACTCCGCCCGCTCGCCCAGCGCCGGGGAGGAGCCGCAGACGCTGCCTGCCTCACGTGCGTACACACAGGCAGATCAGACCACCGCGGTGCAGACGCCACACACACTGCGGTGTGCGCGCATCGTGTGTGTTTCCAGACGAACGCTAATGCAGGGACACGGAGTTAGAGCCGCACCTGCACAAGCGTCCTACACAGGAGGAGCTTTCAGAAAGCACTGCGACCCTGACCCGACCGCAACAGGAGAAGGCACAGCCCGCCCGCACCGTCCGCTCCCCGGCCGCACCGTCCGCGCCGCTGAGACGCGAGCGGTGCCGCGGGAGCCGCGTCAGCTTCCGGGCTCCAGCTCGGCACAGCCCCGCTCACCTGTAGCTGTCCTTCCGGAGGCCGCCGCCGTCGGGTGTGTCTTGCGCCTCCTTGGCAGAAAACCCGAGAAGACGCCTCCTTTGGCTCGCAGGGCTCGCGCCGGGGCCCGCTCTCCGGGAATCCGGCTCCGGCGCGCTGCGGGTCACAGACGCAGAACGAGGAGTGAGGGCGCAGCACGGCGCACACGCGGCGGCACGCACAGGCACACCAGAGCTCCCGCGTGGGGCCACGCACACGGCCCGAAAAACACGCTCGTGCACGCAAGCCCCCGGCCTGGCGCCCTCGACACGGGAAAGCAGTCCTGCAAACAAGGTGTGTCAGTGCGAGGGCGCCTCACCGGCGCGCTGTTTGAAGGACGTGGTTTTCCACGTCAGCGTGCGCGTGAGGGGTGAGCGGAGCAGGCACGCGAACACGCTCGGGCGACGACCAGGACGGGCAGCTCTCTGGTGAGGAGACACTGCAGGTGCAGTGGGAGCCGCTCGTGTCAACAGCCCAGACATTAGGCTTTCCGGTCCCGGCAGGCAGGCTACCAGACAGAGCAACAGGGGTCTCACTGTGTCCGATTCTTCCCTTTTCATCCCCTGTAAGAGTTTCCTCTTTACTTTTACCTCTTTCTGTCCACTCTTCCCATAACACCTTCACGTGTCTACACGTGTTCTCTTGATGGGCCCAAGGGCTGGGAGGCAGAGACACACACATGATGCACGTATGTGCTGTGCACCCGTGCACACACACACTGAGCACTGCAGCAGCTATTTAACCCTCCCACACACCAGCCCGCCAATCCCGGGCTGAGAAACCCGGCTCGCCAGAGCGCTCTGTGTGCGTGCCTCGCCTCCCGCCCATGCCTGGGACCCACACCTGCGCGGGCGGTCACTGCAGGCGGCACTGGGGAAGGGAGACCCGTCCTGCCCTGAGGGAGGGAGGGAGAAAGGGAGGGAGGGAGGGAGGGGGCCGGGGAGGACCTGTGGCTCGGAAGGAGCCAGTCTCCGGAGCCCAGCAGTTTGCCCAAACCTGAAGAGAGGTACAATCAAGAGTGGCCACCTGCATGGTACACAGATGATTAATGAACTAAGTCAGTTCAGAATTATTAGCACTCGGAGGTTCCTGAAGAGCCTTTCTTCGAACGGTCACTCGGTCGATATAGTTACGTGACCGGTGACCCTTTGGCTCGCAGGGCGGTGCTCAGTCCACTGAGCCACACCAGCCAGGGCATCGACTCAGTATTTTAAAACAAACTAGAAGATATTAAGAAAATGGTAGTTGCTATGTCTCAGGTATCAGAAACATCCTACTCTCCACTCCTTGCTACGAGAGTCTCGACAGTGTCCCGCTACAAACTAACTCTCACCCCAATAAACTCGCTCGTGTTATCCGCCAACAGGCCCGGAAAGCACAGAGTAATAAAACACAACTAATTTCAATTTCCCCAAAGGCCTGGAAAAGCACTATAAGAACTGTCACTTCACTTTTTCATTTATGAAATCCTAAAAGCCAACAACTGTTTTAGATTATTTACGAAGCTACTTAATCCTTGAGATAAGATTTCAGACACCCAGTTTCCACACCAAGGGGCTGAGCGACAAACGGCACCTCTCCGAATCAACCCTTCCTCCGCGCACCTGCTCTCCTGTGGCGCAAACAGGGCAACTGGAGGGGCGAGCTGCCTCCGCCGCAGGTGGGCTCCCCCGTTCTCCTCCCCAAGGCCGCCCCACGCAGCTGCTGCTGTCCACCTGAGAGCCACACCCGACCTCTGAACCCCAGAGATGCTGACCTTTGGACCCACACACACCAGAGGGGAAAAGCCCAGAGTCTGAGCCAGGGGACCAGCAGGTGTGGCTCGGAGCCTCCCCCCACCCCCAATTCCTTACGTGTAAAATAAGGGAGAAAAAATATATATTTCACAGGGACCTTCAAAGGTTCAACAGGTCCATGTGCCCCAGAGGCGGCCAGGCAGGCTGCGGCAGAGCCAGGCACACGCTCCACCTCGCGACCCAGGTCAGACGGCCGCAGCACTACCACCGCTGAGCCCGCGCCTGCAGGGGGCGCTGCGCTTCGGTCCTCCCCAGCTCCGGCGTCTGAGCCCCTGGCCGCACCTCCCACCTCTCCCGGACCTGCTCCCTCCTGAGGGCTGGGCCACCCTGCCCTTCACTTTCCCCGGTCTGGGGGGCACTCTTCCCACACCCCCCCACCCCCGCCCCCCCTCCCCGGGGCGTCCTGTTCGCCCTGCTGGTCCTCGCTGGCATGGACGGGCCCAGAGACCTCTGCTGCGGCCCAAGGCAGTGCCCACCCGCCCGCAGGGAGCACCCCCCGTATCCCCTCTCAACCACAAGCTGGCGAACTCGTGCTGGGGAAAAACCCAGACCGTCATCTTAGGACGACCGACTCCAAGCCAGGAGTGGGGTGGCGCTCTCCCATGGGGACGGGGCAGGTGTTGGGGGGGCTCCCCAGGGAGCCCGGGCCCCTTCTCACGTCTCTCAGCGACCCCCTCCCGAGAGGGGGGCAGCAGGAGTTCCCGCGGATCCCCTCTCGTCTCCGGCAGCGACATCGTGACCTCTCAAGGTCGAGGAGGAAGTGGGCAGAGGTCTCTCTTCCACTGCCTTCGCCTTCGTCCTAACAACCCATCGGGGGAGGAGCAGGCGGGGTGGCACAGCAGGGGGGCGGCGAGGACACCCACGAGCCCCCAGCACGCGCCCACCCGAAGTCCGGGCCCGCGGAGCCCACCAGCTCTGCGCGGGACAGAGCGCGGCCCTTTTTTTATGCCGAAGGTGACGCCCACAGAGGCTGGGGGGAAGGGGCCCCGCACCTGCACAGAACGCAAACAAAGTGCCTCTGTGGCCCCCCCACCCCCCACGTGCCCCGGGCCGGCAGCACCAGGCGCTGAGGCGTCCTGCATTTCTCCAGCTTGTACGTCACTTTGACAAACGCGGAGGGCGCTGCTGGCCAAGAACTTGAACTGGATTTCGTTTCAAAGTCTGGCTGAACGCAGGCCCCAACAGCTGGCAGCGTGAACTCCACGTCTGAGCTGTGCAGGGACTTGCAGCCGCAGCCAGCGGTGACCTCGCACGGCGCGGCGTGCCTGGCGACCGACCGGAAAAGGGCTGGGGCCGGGCTGGAGGGGGCACGTCTCAGGGTAGGAGCGAGAGCGCTCTCTGGGGGACGACGGGCCGACGGGCTCAGGGCCGAGGGGACTCAGGGCCGAGGGAAGGGACTCTTGTTTCCAACCGGTCCCAGGCCCCGGCTCAGCGCCGCGCCCCTGTGATTGCCTCTCCCGCACCGCCATCTTCTGAGAAAACCGCAGAGGAGCTGGCCCAGAGCCTGCCGGGGACGCGGCCCGCCCCCCCCCCCCTTGGGAGAGGAGGGCGACGCAGCGAGGCGCACACGGAAAGGAGACGCGCGGCCCCACACTCACCTGAAGGGCCCGCAGTTCAGGAGCACGAGGGCCAGCAGCACCATCACGCAGACGGCTCTGCGCTTCGGGCTGGGCACTTTCAGCCTCTGGTTCTGCAAAGGAGCCGTGAGACACAGTCAGACGACACCCATCCCCGCAAAGCAGCCCCTAGGGGAGGGTGTTCACCCCACCGGTTCTGTGAGTGCTCACGCCACAAGCAAAGCTCAGAGGCCAGCCAACGCTGCTCCCCGGAGACCAGAGCAGGGCCTTCCCACTCCCTCCACCTGACACCCGGCACCCGGAGACGCTCCCGCAGCCCGTCCGGTCTCCTCGGCCGCTGGGGTCAGTGACACGGGGCTGCTCCCTCGGGCAGCTGGGCCCTGGGCACCGGGACAGCGAGAAGCCTGCCCCTCCTGCAGAGGCAGAGGCCACCCCGGGCCCCGGGCAGCTGCTCGGGGCCGAGAGCACCGCGCTGTGCGGGCGGGACAGGCGTGCGCCAGCCTGGGAGCGGCACGGCACGGTGCGAACCCCGGAACCGGGCTCGGGTGGGACCGGGAGAGGGGGGCACCTGCGTCTGTGCTGTTCGCGCTTCCCTTCCGAGGGGGGAAGCCTGGGGGACTGCCGAGCCTCGGGGACTCGGGGTGGGCGGCGACCTGGGGCTGCGCCCCCAGGGCTCTGCCCCCCCTCCACCCGCGGACATGCAGTGCTCCCGGCCCCTCCTCACTCTGCTAGGTCACAGACTCCCCTGCGGACGTCTCAGAAAGGAGGGGCGGCGGCCCCGCGCCCGCCCGCCCGCCCGCCGGCACGCACCTCCAGCACCGCCTGGTCCAGCTGCCGCTTCAGCGACCCGTTCTCCTTCCTCAGCTTCTCGTTCTCGGACAAGGCGGCCCGCAGCCGGGCCTCCAGCCCCAGCAGGTACTCCTTCTTCTTCTTGCGGGACTGGCAGGCCGACTCCCGGTTCTTGATCATCCGCTGCTGCCTCCGGAGCACGGCAACCTGGGGTGGGGGGTGGGGGCGGCCGGTCAGAACGCCCCGGTCCCCAAGTCCCACCCGACCAGGACAGACCGTCTGCACGGCTGTCTTCAAACCCTTGTTCAAAACGTGCTACTGGCTGTTTCAGAACAGGTTTTAAAAGTCTCGCCCCAAGTGAAGAGACAGGATTAAGGGAGGTTTTCCGAGGCCTAACGGACACGACCTCTGCTTCCCAGGCTGCTGGACCCCGCCCCCAACCCCGGCCAGAAACCCCCGGGGGACCAGGCGTCACGGCACGGCACTCGGACCTGAGGTCTGTGGCTCAGGCCCTGCACTGACCGTTTTCCGCAGCCATGCACACCCAGCCGCTGCCGGGCTGCCGCCCTGGAGCCACCAGCACTGGAGGCACGGCACGTGCGAGCCGCACGCACCCCCCCGAAAGCCCCACCCCCATTTCCCTCCCCGCCCTCCGTGGGTGACGAGAACCTGCAGACACAGAGGAAGGGAAGCCAGCACGGGCCCACTCCTCTGTCACTCCCCGAGCACAGACTGCGCGGCCTCCGCAGCAGCCTCCTGACCCCTTGGGGCATGGGGAATCTCCTCCCGTCCACCACCCCCAAGAACACCCCCCCAGAAAGCCAGGCCCTTGCCGCCCCCGTGTGGAGAGCAACGCTGGCCCGGCATCCCGCTCCCCAGCTCGGCTCCTCAGGCTCCCGAGACGTGGCCGCCCCCACTCAGGCCCCCACCCCACTCAGCACCGCACCACAGGCCCCCGGTGGTCTCCACACGCGCCTTCCTCGGGCCATCGTCCACTCCAAGCGCTCCGTCTCCGATGCGCTGTCCTCCACACCCTGGTTCTAAGGAGCCCCCACGCCGCCCAGCTGACCGGCCGGGCGCTCTGCTGACGCCCTGACACCTGGGCGGCGCCCTGAACACTCCAGAGGTCTCCTCCGTTTCAGGAAGGTCACCTCCCCCGCCACCGGGACTTTGCACCCAAGCCACCCACCACTACCTACCCCTTCACGGCCCACACCATCTGCCGCAGTGAGAACTTACTGGGCAAAACCTGCTGGGTCGTGTCTTCCCAACTAAAGTATGGAACCTGCCTGTTGCATCAGCCTCATTTATCTGGGGGGGGGGCAGGCAGCCAGGTTCAGTCCGTAAGAAGCACCAGATAACATTCTGATCATCGTGGTACAGAGGGGACTGAGTTGCCGACTTCTACACGTAACGACTTTCACAAACGAGCCATCTACCCTGAGGTGGTCGATAACTGCTCCTAACGAGACCAGGAAAATAAGGTCAAACACCTTAATGTTGGTTTTCCTAAAATGACCACCCAGCCCCCCGCACTTCCTAGACACCGCCTCACCAGAGCCGGCCAGGCAACCTCGGCCCTCACATCTGCCGGCGCCGACGACCCTTCTGCATCAGGGTCCGGGGGAGGAGCCTCACACGAGGTGTCAGAAAAGGGTGCCTTTTCCATTTTTATCAGAAACGCTACAAGAATGCTGACCTGCGCAGCCTGCCGAATTCCAACTTTTCCACCACACTTTCTGCTTAAACGCACCAGGAGCAGATCATGACGATCTTTTCTTCTGGCCATTTTGCATCTGGAATGGACACGAATCCAACCTACACGCGTGCTGGAAAGGCCAGCCCAGGGCCCCCGGCGAGGCTGCCCGCAGCCGCTGCCCACGCAGGGGTGCTCTGGGCTCCCGCAGGGCTCGGGCGGCTGACGCCACCTACACCGCGGCTCCTGCTGTGCGACCCCACCCGTCGCCCCCACGGACTGGACTCGCAGCCCCCACACGCACCCACACACGCACACACGCACACACCCACACGCACACGCACGGCGACAAGACAGACATGGGCTTCACTCGCCCTCACGCCCGGCACTGAGACACTGCGGCCGAGGGTCGCACTTACGTCGGAGCCCACGCTCCTCCCGGCGCTCTGCAGGGCAGGTTTGGCCACGGAAAGTTTTCCATTCGCTGGGCTGCCGGCCACAGGGGCCGGCACCACACTGACCACGTGGTTGGGGAGCTGCGCGGCCCCCGCAGCGACGGCCAGGACGGGCTGGGGCGCGGGCAGGACCCCGGGCGCCCGCAGCTGGACCACGGCGGGCGGAGACAGCACCACGGTCTGGCCTGCGGAGACAGAGGACAGGGTCAGCGGGAGCCCAGCTCTGCGGCAGGAGGAGCCGCTGGGCTGGAGGCCTGGTCTGCGGGTGGAGGACAGGGGGGTGCGGAGCCACCCACGCCGGCTCGGCCGCAGCCCGGGCTCTCGTGAGGACGAGCACTGTCCAGCCTCAGTGACCCCGGCTGTGCCCTCCCCTCCCGCGAGAGCGCTCAGTGCACGCGCGTGTGTTTGGTCTCGGCACACGCGTGCCGAGTCTGCCACGCTGCGCTGAGACCTCTCCAGGTGTGGCCCCGACCTCTGAGGTGCGTCAGTGCTCAAAGGACTTTCACATTGCGCGGAACAGACCGTCCCCCTGACGCAGAGCCCGTCCACGCGCCTCAGGCTGGCGGGACTCAGAGACGCTGCGCTGAAAACACGTACACAGAGGCTCCTCGACTCAGTGCTCGCAAGGACCCAGGGCTCCGAACACCAAGAACGGGGACGCCCCCGAGACGAGCTGTTAGCTGACAAGCCGCAGGGGCGGGTCCAGCCCAGCAGCTGCCTCCGTCACTGGGGTCCTGAGGGGACGCACGCGGTCGGGACGGGCCACAGCCGTGTGTCTGTCTGGCACGTCCACCGCCCTCTGGGACGCCGCCCGCACGCCCCCCCGACCCAGGAGGACGGCTCCCTGCAGCCACGGAGGCTCTTCCTCCCCACTGTCTCCCGGGACCCGAGACCCGAGACGACGCCTGGGGTCCCTGGGGGCTCGGGACGGTCACCGCTCTGTGCCCCGATTCTCTCACCTGCGAGACGCAGGTGGAACTGCACGCTCTTCCGAGTGGAGGGAATTCCGGTCAGGTAAGCTGGCGCACGCAAACACTCAGACCGGAGCCTGGCGCAGACGCCGGCACAGAGCGGAAACGTGGGTGTTCGCCGCTGCCGCTGCGGCCCACTGCGCGAGAGCCCCCCGGGGCCCTGTGTGTGCCAGCGGCTTATTCCTCCTTGCGGGCCCGGCGCCTGACTGTCCACACGCACTTGCCAGCCCCCCCCACCCCGAGACCAGCAGCCACCCTGCAGGAGGCCACAGGCAATCCAGCACCCACGCCAACACCCCCCACGGGGCCAGACCCCACGGCCCACAGCCCACGGCCCGGCCCTGCCTGCCCCCCGCAGAGCGCCCCAGCCAGCGTCTCCCTCTGCCCTGAGCCCCTCTGAGCGGCACCACCCTCCACCCAGGAAGCCCACGGCAGGACCCCATCCTCTGTCCCTGTTCCCTCCCACACCATCCGGGCGCTGAGCCCTGGGGTGCTGCCCGGGCCTCCGGCCCAGCCACCAGCACTGTGCGCATCGTCTCGGGGGCGCATGGGACACAGACGCACAACGGGCAGGAGCTGCACTGGGCCGACAGAGTGGTGTGTGCCGAGAAACCAGGGGACACGAGGTCACTCGGCGACCACGCCAGGTCAGCCGGGCTGGAGAGGGGACTGGAGGAAGGGGTGGCAGACACCTCACCAACGCAGAGGGAGAGGGAACTGGGCCGGGCCGGCGGGCAGGAGACCTGCAGCCGCCTCCTCTGGGAACGAGGTCCCGTCCCCAGTGGGAGACGCCCACGGGGAGGCCCACGTCGTGGCCGGTAGGGCGCCCCCCTGTGTTTCCCTCCTGCTCCCCCCGCCCCGCCCCGCGCACACTTGTAGATGCAAGACGCGCCCCTCCCTCCGTCCTCGGGAGAAGCCCCGCGCTGCACACGGCCCGGAGAGCGAGCACACACCCTGCAGACGCCTGTCTGCACGGCCCGACGCTGCTCTCAGGCCGGAGCACTGCCCAGACAGGGCGGGGTGCCTTCTCGCCGCTGCAGGGTGGCCGCCCCCCCCCCCCCGCACACCCTCTGCTCCTCGCACACCGGCCGGGTCGACGTCGGGCTTTCGCTTCGTACGCCTGTTTTAACAGCCGGCGGGAACTACAACGGGGTCCTTCGCAAGTTTAAGTCCTCGGCCTTTGGGAGACTCGGGTCCTCCTGAGACCCGGACGACGGGGCTGGAGACCGCCCCGGAAAGCCCACGTGCGGACACACGCCACGTCCCGCATCTCACGCCGAGAAGCTCACCAACACGTGGCCGCCACTCAGGACCCAAGAACACCTGCTCCCCCGGCAAGGAAGGCCCAGCGCGGGGCCGCGGCGGGAGGGCGGGCGTCGGGGGCATGCCTGCGCCCATCCAGCCTCCCCGGCCTCCCGGGCTCCACCCCGAGCCGTCGACGACCCGGGACACCACAGAGCGGCCCGGGCCCCGCGCGTACGGCCTCACCCCGTCGCGACGAAGGTCCGGAGAGATGCGCTAACACCCAGAGCTGGACAGGCAGCCCCAAAAGCAGGCGCCACGCTGTGTTCAGGGACAGCCTGTACCCCAGCAACACCTCGTCTTCCTGGGCCCCGGCCGCACCACCAGCAGCCGCTGGAGTCGGGGGGACACGCGCCAGCACGAGCGCGGTGACGAGCACCTGCCAGAGCGGCCGCCTGAGCCAGGGACTCCCGGTCTGGACCGTGCCAGGCCTCTCTCCCGACCCTCGCGGAATCCAGTGCACGCAGCCCCCTGGTGGACGGCACGCAGAAACACACGCGGCCGGAGCGAGATGAAGACGGCTTCGGGGTCCCGGAGCCGCCCCAGGCCACGTCCGGGCCTCGGAGCGTGAGAACCTGGTTCCGCCGCCGAACCCCGAGACCTACGAGGCCGGAACCGGACCGTACTGTTTAAACGCCGCCCTCTCCTTTACAACAAAGTTCACAGACACAAGAGTCTCAGGACAAAACGTCACCAAGAGAGTTTCCGGGCTGCCTCTTCGTCACGCGTGGTCACACAAACCACGAGCCTCTCGTGACTAAACCCGTAAGGGAACGGGCGTGTCGGCGTGGCGGGACCGAGAGCTCTCTCCTGCCGGGACGGGGACCAGGTGTCGGTCACCCGCCACGTCCAGAACCAAGGACAGGTCCTGACGCGCGGCACGGGCGCAGACAGCCCCGCACACACTGGAGCGAGTCACGTGGCACACGCAGCCCCGCGCTGCACGCGGTACCTTTGGTGGGCGCGGGGTAGATGCTGATCGCTGGCTGCTGCTTTGCCACGGGAATCAGGGTGGGCAGGGCCTGGATGATGATGGCCTTCGCGGGGACGCTGGGGCTCGTCGGAGGCCTGGGTGCTGCTGGGAGCAGCAGAGGCTTGGGCTGAAGCGAGGGTTTGGAGCTCGTCTGAAGCTTCTTCCTCGGAGTCAGTCCGCTTTCTGGAGAAACACCAAACCACAAGTCAACCTGAAGACGAGTCGGCAATCACAGGAGACCGGTTCCCTCTGCACCTCTCTCCGCACGTCGACCGCCCGAGTCAGCCACCCTGAGGTCGCCTCGAGCCCCGAGCGACCGCCTTCAGCTAGGTCCATGCACGGCGGCCGCAGGCCCCGGCGGACCGTGGAGCAGCCGCCGCCCGGGGCTCCCCTTGTCCTCGCCGAGGCGTCCCTGACACGCGGCGTTCTGTCGGCGTCAGGCCCGGATGACTCGGCGGCTGCGTCACAAACCGACCCTCGTGGCAAGTCGGGCTAGCATCCACCGTGCACAGTTACAGAGTCATTGTTCTTGCCACGAGACCTTCTAAAACCCACCCCCCGGCACCTTCCACATTTCAGGACAGTGTCAGCAAGTGGGTCCTCGCCGCGCCCTACACGGCGTCCCCGGACTCGATCACACCCCCGTGGGTGCTGGTCCTCTTCTCGGGCTGAGCCGCAGCCTTGGGGAGGGTGCGTCGGGGGGAGGGGGGCGCGGGCCCTGGAAAGCAGCCCAGCCCAGCCCCCAGCCTGGCGTGATGAGGTGGCAGAGGCCACCACCCTGTGGCCCTCACAGTCAGGACCCTCCACTCGGGGGGGAGGCCCCTTCACCTCTGAAGACAGAGAGGACAAAAGGGGGACGTCCTCCCCACCCTCCCCACACCGGTACTCCGTGTACCGTACACCAGCACACCGGACAGGCCCAGCAACCCCCCACCCCGGACCCCACGTCTGCTTCTGAGAAACGGAACCTGGGCCCGGCTAGGCCAGCAGGGACGCCGTCGGGAGGGGGAGCGGTGACGCTGTCGGGAGGGGGACGGTACCGGCTCTGCTCCTGGGACTGGGGACGGGCTTGTCCTCCTTCAGGGGCTCGGCCGAGCAGGGGCCGCCGGAGCTCTCTCCGTAGAGGGACAGGGGAGACATCTGGGACGTGGAAGACAAATCCAGCTCCTCCTGCAGCGAGATCAAACACGGGCTCACCGGAAGAACACCGTCCCCGAGCAGAAGGCCGTGCGGAGAGCGAGGCCAGATCCAGAGAGAGACAGCGGAACAGGCCCGCGGCCCAGGTGTGATGCACCAGAAACTCTGCGCGTCCAGGACCGAGTCGCCACAGGCAGACAGACTGACGCTGCTCGCCAGCACAGGAGGAAAACAGCTCACCGCGCCGGGGCCGACGTCAATCGCAGCTCTGCTCCTACCCCCCTCCCCACAGACTGCGCATCGTACTCGGCTCCTGGCCCTGCCAACGACCGGCGCGCTCTGAGGCCACGGTTGAGACACGAGAGCCCTCTCCCCACAGACGCCTGCTCCGCCCTGCAAGACCCTCCGGGCGAGGGGCCCCGCCGCTCTGCCACCCCTGCCCGCTGGCTCGGGCCCCTCGCCCGGCGTCTGGGAGACGGGCGCGCGGGAGGGACCGGGCTGCGCTCCCTCCTGGACGAGGGAGCGCACGGTGCCGAGGCCTGGAGGGCCAGTGCTCGCACTCCCGAGAGACCCGCACTGCGCGGGCCCCGGCTCGTTCCGACAGAGCGGGGAGCGCCACCCTGGCACCCCGCGGCGTTCCTGCCCTGGGCGGAGGCGGCGTTCCCTGCTATGGCGAACGGGCGCCTTCTGTCTGTGGGGCCGCTGTGGGGCGCTGGGGGGGGGAGGGGGGCAAGCGCTCGCGCGCGGCGTGAGGGGCCGGAGCCAGAGCAGCCCGGCGCCACCACTGGGGAGAAGAGCAGACGGAGACAGGAGACAGCGGCAGGGAAGGCACTCTGCGATAAAAAGCAGAGCGTGAACCAAGTCAGGGGATACAGAGTAACGAGAGTGACGGCTTCCCATCTGTTGCAAAGTAGGAAACCGGGAGTACAAACACAGGAAACCTGATGACAAAGAGGACAGTTTCACACTGTTTAGAGCACCTGCTCTGGGGGCGCAGCCTGCAGCGCGAGCGCCACCCGTCCAAGGCCAAGCGCGGAGGCAGGCGCCCCTCCCGGGCTGCGCGTGCCCGCACGCCCCCGACTCCAGCCCTGACACGCCGGGCGAGCCCCCGGGGGCTGTCTGCACACTGGCCAGTCTCTGCTCAACCGAGTGACGAGGTCTCAAGAGTCGGGAGGGACAAGCGGCCTCACGTGAAGAGGGCCGAGGGACAGCACACGTCAAGGACACGTCAGCACACGTCTGTGGTCGACATCTGGGCACGAGGCGGGGGGCTGAGGGTCAGGTGAGCAGGGGCCTGCACGTACTTCCTGATTTTGACGGTGACGGGGTGGCCACCTAAGACGTGTCCTTGCCTGTCGGAAACAGACGCTGGGGTCTGGGGGGGGCACCAGGCGGCATCTCACTCCCAGATGGCCCCGGGGGAGGGGGAGTTCTTTATGAAGTCCTTGTAACATTTCCGTAAGTTCGAGGGTGTTCAAATTTTAAAAAACTAATAGAAGAAAACAAGGATAAAAACACTGACTTCTGAGTAGTGAAAAACTCTCCTTTGAGTGAAAAAAAGCAATGAAAGACCAGTAACTTGGCTGTTTTTAAAAAAGTACGCCTGAAAAAAGAAGAGGCAGGGACGAAGCTTGAAGACCGAGGACAGACGGGGAACAGAGACGCCCGCACCTCCCTGCGCAGAGCTGAGGACCGGTGCAAGACTCGCGGTACGAGACTCGGTTAACGACAAGGGGCAGACAGGCCGCCGCCGCCGCCACTGCGGAGAGGCACACGGACGCTGCAGGGGCGGCGCTCGGCGCCCTCCGGAGGAGACTCTGGAGGGGGGGCGCCCTGGCAGAGACCCAGCGCCAGCACCCCGAGGACAGACGCCCGGGGGCAGGGGCGGGGGCAGCACAGCGCCAACATCCTGGGCGGGGGAGGGGGCCGGGCCGCACGAAGGGGGAGGGAGAGTGGGGAGCTCGAGTCCACTCCCTGGCAGCGGCCACTGCAATGCACCTGGGGTTCGAGTGGAGGACCGACAACCGACCAAATCGGACCGAAGGCTTCTCCGCGGAGGGAGCCGTGGGCCACGGGGGCGGGGCGGCAAGGACGACACCACCAGCTGGGAAGGCGACTCCCGGAGACCCGGGGCCAGGAGGCCTCAGAGTTTCCCGAGCGACAATGAGACGCCTGTGTGTGAGCCTCCCTCCTCCCACAGCGCCCGCAGGCCCTCTCCTGGCCACGCCCTCTCCTGGGCACGCCCTCTCCTGGCCTCTGGCCCCCCAGACCCGAGCTGCATCACTCCTAAGGGACTCCCAGGCCGACGACACCCCGCCCTCCAGGAGGCAGGTGGGCACCGCTGACCCATCTAGACCACCCTGGGCTCGCGGCTGGGGCTCAGGACCCGACCCTCTCGCCGTGGCCCCGTCCTCCCCTCCTCCGAGGAGGCGCGAGGGAGGCGGGGGGAGAGAGGACAGAGACCACTCCAAGCCCTGCAGAGGGGACCCCGAGCGGCCTCCTCCTCCCCGCCCAGCCGCCCGCCCAGAGGCCGCTACTCACAGGGACGTGCGGGACGGGCGAGGCCGAGTCCACGGACTGCGGAGAGGACAGCGAGCAGCTGCAGGAGGCCGGCGAGAGGGGCTGCGGCTCCGTCTTGACAGGTGAGACTGAAACACAGGGGGCACAGGTTTGCCGCCCGACAGCGCGGACTCTGCTCCGCTCCACGGGCGAGAGTGGAGGCGGCTCAGCTCTTCGAGTCCAGCCCTGGGGCGGCGGGGGCGGACCGGGGAGGCGGCAGCGGTGCACACAGGTGCGGGCCTCTCGCTCTGCCCTGACTCTGCGGGCACCGTGGGGGGAACCGGGGCCATCGCTGGGAGCACGAGGAGCTGGCAGAGGGGCGAGGCGGGGGGGGGGGGCGGGGGGCGCTGTCCTACTCCACAGACTCGTGCCCTCTGAACTTCACGCCACACGCAAAAACGATTGGCTGCCATAAAGTAATTGTGAAAAATGCAGCAAGAAAGAATTATTTTGGAAAGCGTGTTTGGCAATATAGTTAAAACTCACGAAAATACCGTGCCTTTGTAACTGTTGGTGTGTTTACAAGAATGCATTGAGCAGCAGTCACCCAGACGGCCTCCTGGTGCGGAACTGGTAGGGGGAGCCGGTCTGCGTCCCCCCAGCGGAAGTCCTGGCGACCCCTGAGGATCCAGCAAGGCACACCGGCCACACCGCCCGCGTGAGAATCTCGGGGCGCGGGACCCTGCCCGGGAGTGCTGCGGGCACTCTCGTCTGCGCCGCACGCCCCGCGTGAGCCCCCGACGCCGGACTCCCACCAGACGCCACGCTGGGAGGAGGCCGAGCCACGGGGACAGGCCCCGAGCGGGCATCTCGTGGGCAGTCCCCACAGCCGCACGTCACCCAGGCAGGCGGCCGACAGGGGCAGGAGCCCTCAGGAGGACCCCGGGCCCGGGGGCTGCCGGTCTGCCCAGTCCGGTCAGCTTCCCAGTCCGGCCAGCCCATCCCAGGCAGAGACTCGCCGCTCCTGGTGCGCCCCGTCCTGCCCCGACCCGCGGACTCGGGGGGGACGTAACAAAACCAAGCGTGCTCCAAGCCACTGAGCTCACGACACAGCAGCAGTGACCAGCACACTGGCCTCGAGCAGCCCACGTGCCCGAGGGAAGGCAGCGAGCAAGACACACACACACACACACACACACAGAACGGGGGGGGGGCGAGGAAGTGTGTGGTGGGACCCGCTGTTCGTCCACCGCTGGCGGCCTGAGATGCCAGTCATGCGCAGGCCCCGCTGGCCACTGCAGGGACCCCTCTGCAGGGACCCCAGAAGGACGCCACTGGTGGGAGGAGGGGAGGAGGGTCTCTCGTCCCACATCCCCTCACGGGAAGTGACAGCTCACGCAGACGCCAGCTTCTGTCTGCGCAGGCGCACCCCCTCCCCAGCAGGGGGCGCCCCTCAGGGCACCCTCCACAGGCCCCGCGCTGAGTTCCGAGGGTGCCGTCGCCCTTTCCCTGACTCCCCAGGTCTGTCTGGTGCTCAGGCTGCTGTCTTGCAGAGACATCATCCGTAAGTGGAAGCCAGCAGGTCCGACATGAATGCTTTACTCACGTATGGGACCGAAACACGTATGAACACCTTATCTTGCCCAGGCAAGAACTTCATGTGGGCCCCACCACGCTGGAAGCAGGGTGTGCAGTCCCTGGAGTTTCAGCCCACCAGGGCAGCCCCACAGCCCCCCTCCGTGGCTACGGCCAAACCACAAAACGAGACGGACCCTCCCGAAGTGTCCCCGACGACGACAGACCCTCACCTGTGCAGAGCTCGTTGCCGACGTCCCACACGCCTGCCTCCCACGGCATCAAGTCCAAATCAAAATCGAGGCTCTCAAAATTGCCGGCCTGTAGGTGTCAGATCAGCAACAGGGTGTCAGAAGAGTGAAACACACGCCCCTAGACAGCAGACCAGCAGATGCGATTTGCCACAGACAGTGCAGTCGCTGCCACCCAACTTGGCACCGACGATTTTCTGAGATGCCAGCTCACCTCAGGGATCCCAGAGAGAAGCCGACGCAGTTTCCTGGCACGGCGGTGGCAACCGCGGGGAGCCCGCTGGCCCGCTCTTTTCAGGGGAACGGGCCGGCACAAGAGCCACGGAGACACGAGGGCTTGCCGCTGGAGCCCCGCACAGAGAAGTACGCTCTCCCACCGCCACGAAGGGAAGCGGCTCAGAGCCAACGCCCGCTCACAGCAGCACCCACAGACAGCGGCGAGGACACAGACGCAGGCGAGAGCCCGGCGAGAATCACGGGGGCTTCCCCGGGACCCTGAAATCCACCCACGGGAGCCGGCTGTGCGGGAAGGGGCACGCCCGTAGGCGGGTGGGCCGCCTGCTGCTTTTCTGTGCTGTCCTGCACTTTCAAACTTCTAAAATGTAATTTCTAGAATTTTTTTAATCCAGGAAGATAAAACCTAAGTTTTTCAACCGGGGTCAACACACCTCTTCAAGGGACTCAGTTTCTCTTCACTGACACAACGCTTTTCCCCACACAGGAGCGTGCACTGGGCCGTCTGGCCGGCCTCCTGCCACGCACGTGAGCAGCTGGAGGACTGCCACCGGACGCCCGAGCCCTCGCGTGAGCGGCAGACCGGGGGAGAGCACTGCTGGCAGTGCCGGCGGTGCCGGCAGTCAGGAGGCAGGAACAGAGCTCACGCAGCGGAGAGACGGCCCAGCGGTCGGAAGGCAGCCGACATGAACTTACTGAGACCGGTGGCCGCAGAGAACGTGGGCCTCCGGCGAAAAGGGGGGACCAGTGGAGCAATTACTGCCAACCCCTCGGTGATAATTTGTGGACAACGGTATCGTTTCAAAACGTCTGCCGCGTGGTCTGTTTTTATCGAGAATGTAACGGGACTGCAGGCAAACTGCTGCGTCCACCGCCTCTCGCTGAGCAGACACAGCACACGTCACACAGAGAAAACGTGTGTGAGCACGTTAAAATACAGAAAAGGCTGCTCAGAGCACGGAAGAACCACTTTTAAATCACCCTCCTTGTTTTTTCTCTTACTCGAACCCACACATCAGGAAACCGGGAGGCCGCGGAGGCCAGCCCTGCCCAGGACGCTGCCCCTCGGGCTCAGCCAGAGAGACACACCCTTCCCGGCCGAGGACCCTGCTGGTTGGAAGGCACGCGCACGGGACTGACACCCGCCGCCGCGGGGAGGAGGGGGCACGGCCGGCAGCAGGACGGCCCTCAGAAGCATCCGCTCCTGTCCCTCCAATCCAGACCGGACCAGCCAGGGCGCCGGAAGGCTGAGCGACTTGCGTGAGCTCAGAGTGCTGACTGGGGTCCTCCCAGCGCACCGCAGCACCCGCGGATGCCTGGGGCGCAGGGGCTGCGAGAGCGCACCCGCCGCTCGGGCACCGGCCAGCGGTGCGAGTCAGCCTCGGCAGCAGACCACGTTCCACGCCTCTCGGAGAGGCGGGAAGAACCACTAACCCCGAGCACCGACTATAAAGCACGCCGTGTGCTTCCACTGTTCTGTGTCCATTCGCAGTAAAACCACCGCCCAACTGCTCTTCGAGAAGAGCCTCAGAAACCCACTCAGCAACCGATGCGTGTCTTCATACTCCGGCCAGTAAGGGCTTGAGTCACAAGCGACCAGCACCCGATCCGACGGGCGCGCGCCGACCCCCGTCCACGGGAACGACTCCCTCCGGGAGCGGCGCCTCGTCCGAGCAGGAGCAGGGCAGGCAGGGCCCCCGGCCAGAGCACCGCACGTGCGCGCTCGGGTGCAGGTCCAGGAAAGGGAAGGAAGGAAATCCGGGTGTTCCTGAGGACTCCGAGAACCACCACAGCGTTTACCCGGGCTTCCAGCCACAAAGAGGCAAGAAGCAGGGACACACCCAAGTCTCAGAGCGCTCCCCACTCTGCATACCGAACTTCTGACAACTCGGGGAGTTCTCCACGGTGAGTCTGTGACTCGCAGGGGCCCCTTCGCGTCACCGTTCCTGTCGCCCAGCAAAGGGACCCCGGAAACCGGGCCGGAGGCGGGCGGGCAGCCGGGCCCAAGGTGGAGGCAGACCACGCGTCTTCGCAGACCAGGACCAACGCCGTGTCCACGGCTCTGAGTCCGCTGGTGTCTCCTTGCTTTCCCACTCGCGGCCCTTCCACCCTGGACGCCTGGCCTAGCCCTGCAAGCCCGAAACCCCCCTGCACGAAGAGGGCGAGAACGACCACCGCGCGAGGCCGCAGCTCCCTCCCGGGAGCACTCACGTAGATCCCGTCGGCTGCGTCCGCGTCCATGTCCACGTCCACACCCACGTCCGAGAGGCGGCCGAGCTCAGCAAACAGCGCAGAGTCTGGGGCGGAGGGAAAGGAGAGAGGTGAGCTGCCGCGGCCGTGCCCGGACAGGAGCACAAGCACACGCCCCGAGGCCGGCCTCTCGGGGCCTCTCGGCTGCAGCCACTGCCGCCGCCGACAGCGCTACCGCCAGCGACTGATGGGCTGCAGCCGCGCGAGTGACAACTAAGACAGCTGAGACAACTAAGAGCCTAAGACTAAGGCTCTGACGTACGTGCCGCTGCCGGCGCGATTCTCATCTTGTGAGCGCAGTCTTTACACCAGGGTCTGGGGACCGGCCTCACGTCGCGTCGCGCGGGACTCACGGGGAGCAACCCTCCGGAACGGCCCTCCCCCGCCCCCGCCCCCGCCCCGGTTCTGAGACTGCCTCTGGCCCAGCACCAGGAGTGCCGGGCCGGTCAGCAGCGGGGACAGGAGAGGGCCAGGGCCGCCCGCGCCGGCAGTGACGGGACGGAGCGTTTTCTGCCTGAGCGATAAAGGGCTCGCACATCCACCCATTCAGGGTACTTCACCAAATCTAACGATCTCACTATCGACCCAGAAGTGCACGGACACAGAAAATAACCTTCCGTCAACCGGGCTGAAACTTTCCGTAGAGAAAGGTCAAGAAGCTGCTCAATCTGTACAGCGTTTCCCTGACACGTTCCGGACCCAGGTCTGCCCCCTGCGGTCCCGGCGCCGCGGCACCGAGACTGCCCGTGGTCTCCCCGTCGCGCATGCGCGGGATTGACGCTGCCCGCGCATCACCAACTCCACCAGCGCCAGAAACTTTTCACCGACCGCAGCCAAACAACCCACGCGCAAGAGAGGGTGCATGTGGTAAAGAGGACACTCCTCTCAGCTCTCGGGGAAACCGCCTCCCAGGGACAGGGCCCGACAGCAGCCACGGCCCTGCGCTCCGGCCCTGCGCTCCGGCCCAAGGACTGAGCGCCCGCCTCCCGGAGCGAGGTCTGCGGACGGCTCTTCGAGGGAGGGCTCGCTCTGGGCTGGAGCAGAGAAAGTACAAGATGAGACTGGCACATCTCGTGACAGAAAATGAGGAAATTCTCAGAGAACGGTGGGAACACGTCAAAAGCACGGAAGAGCTAGTATGAGTGGTCAAATCCAGGAAGACCTCAGCACCGAAGCAGGAGGGGGCCAGGGCACGACCCCCTGACCCCAGCGGAGCCAGCCCCCGTGACGAGTGCACACGCACACGGGCAGGCTCTCCCACGGTGCGACGTCCGTCACAAACGGAGATGGGACAGAGACGCCCCGCGTGGTTCCACAGGGGCAGCTCTGGAGGCCGCAGGTGCCAGTGGCGCCCAGGGCTGCTGGGCGCAGGTCTCTGGGGCCAGAGCAATGACATCATGGCAGATGTCCCCTCCCAAATCCTGACTGCACAGTGGAGAAACCGGGAAGCCACCGACGTGACCGCGCGATCAAGGTGACCGTCACCTCGGGACAGGTCGAGGGCGTGTGCTCAGATGGTCCTCAACTCGCTGAGACGAGGACAGCGCCGCGTCCTGGCACCCCTCCGTGGTGCACGCCGGCCCCCGGTCACGAGGGGCCAGGGAACAGGCCCCGTCCAGGGTGCCCCCAGCTCTTCAGGACGGTCCAGGCCACGAGAGACACGGCCGCGGAGCCGCCCCGGACGAGCGAGCGCAGAGCGTGTCTGCAGGGGGTGTCCTGGCCGGGAATGGAGAGGGCGAGGTGTGTGTGGCGGCCGTGGACCGGCGGCAGCGTTCCCGCCTGGCGGGGAGGGCGTGTGGCAGGAACGTGGGGCGCCCTTGGCTGGGGAGACCGAGTACAGTCTGCGGCGCTGAGAAGTGACGGGGCGACCCGTCTCGAGAGAGAAGTGGGCAAACGCGGCACAGTTTAACAGGGAGTCTGCGTGAGAGGCACGCATCAGCTCTTTGTCCTGTTCTTACAACTTTTCTGTGGGTTTGAAACTATTTCAAAACTCAAAATCTACCCCTGGCTGGCGTAGCTCCGTGGATGGAGCGGGGGCTGCGAACCAAAGCGTCGCAGGTTCGATTCCCAGCCAGGGTACATGCCTGGGTTGTGGGCCAGGTCCCCAGCAACCGCACATTGATGTTTCTCTCTGTCTCTTTCTCTCTCCCTTCCCTCTCTGAAAATAAAGAAATAAAATCTAAAAAAGAAAACAACAAAGCTGTAAAAAAAACCCCTCAAAATGTAAATTAAAGAGAGAGAGGGGTGTGTGTGTGTGTGTGTGTGTGTGTGTGTGTGTGTGTGTGTGCGTACAGATCCATAACCCACCAGCTTCTCGCCCCCACCGCTGCCGCTGCCAGCCGCCTGGACTCCTCCAGTGGCCCCCGAACAGACCCCTGCTCTGCGCCCGCCCATCTGTCAGTCCGCCTGCAGCAGCACGGCCACAGTGAGCCCCACGGCCCCAGGGTGTCAGTGGGAACCGGGGTTTTCATGGGGGGGAGAAACGCGTGGTCGGGCAGACGCGAGAACGGGCTCCAGCGGCAGCGCAGGCAGGAGCCCAGGCCTCCGGAGCCGCCCGCCTGCTTCCTCTGCTTCCGCGTTCGGAGGCCAGCCCTGGGGGTGGCCAGAGTCCCGTGCAGCCCGCAGCCCGCTGGGAGGCGGTGCGAGGAGGAGCTGTGGGTGGGAGGAGGGGACAGGAAGAGCGAGTGTGGCGGGACGGTGGCAGCTGGTGAATCTAGACGAAGGAAACGCAGGTGATTGCTGCTCAGACCTTTCAACTTTCCCGTGGTTGCTGAGCACTTAGGACCCCGACGGGGGTCCGGAAACACCTGCGTGTCAGTGCGGGGGGTCCCAGGAGTCATGGGGGCGTCCCTCCCGGCCACGCTGGCCCACACTGCTGACACGGAGGCTTCCCGCAGCAGCACGGCCGGCTGGGGAGGCGAGTGACCTCAGCTCGCTCGGCAAGCTTCCCGCCCGACCTCGCCCTGACCGTGTACCCATCCTTTCACCAACCGCTCGTCAGAAGGGTCACGGCAGCTGGAGTCCCTGCGGACATCCGCACGCGCTCTGGGGGGGGCGCGGGGTCCCGCCGCGGCGGGTCCAAGGGACGAGGGGAGGGACGAGAGTCGGTGAACACGCCACCCCCACCCAGAACTCTGCTGTGCAGTGAAGGACTGCAGCGGCAACAGGAGGGGGAGTGACATCCGAAGAGGGCCTGGGGTTCACCGTCTTCCCTCTCCAGGGGAGAAGCAGCAGTGGCGGGGCCGCGCTCTGGAAGTGGAGCACTGGATGGGGCGGGGGCGGGGCAGGTGACACTAGATGGGGTGGGGCCTGGAGGCCTGGAACCCCGAGGACTGGGGCCTGGCCCGTGCGAGGCGGCAAACAGCGTCCACAGGGAGGACGCAGTCCGAGGGAAACGGCAGCGCAGGCGAGAGCTCCTGATCGTGGTGCGCGTGTCTCGCACGGGGCTGGAAGGAAAGGCGGCGTCTGCGCAGGCTAACGGGGGGCGGGAGGCGGAGAAGGCAGGAGGGAAGGCAGGAGGAAGGGAAGACACGCCGACAAGCCACGAGCCTGTGACATCAGCCCTCGCCCTCACGCAGATGAAAACTGCCGCGAGGGACCACGGCACCGGCCGGACCGGCTAAATCCCCAGACACTGACCACACCCGGGCTGGTGGGGTGCGGGCGCTCGTTCTTTGCCGGCGAGCGTGCAGACCGGGGCGGCCACGCTGAAGACAGGGGCCAGTTCCGCACACGGCCAAACACACGTGACTCACCGCCCGGCCAGGCAGTCGCCCCCAGCCTTCACCCTGATGGTCTGAAGACTCGCATCCCCGCACACACCTGCACACAGACGTTTACAGCGGCCTTACATGTGACTGCCAGCACGTGGAAGCAGCCCAGACGCCCTTCGACAGGCAGCCGCATAAACAGCCGGTGTGCCGCGTCCTACCAGCATGCCCGTGCTGATGGCCCAGCCCCCGTGTGGTGGCGCCCAGAGGCAGGGCGGTCTGCAGGAGGCTCCGGGGTCGAATGAGGTCGTAAGGGTGGGGCTCCCATTACCTCCCGCAGGGCTGTGGCCCTTCTACACCCCAAAGATGTCCCCCTCCCTCCCCTTCTCTCCCCTCCTCTCTCTCCCTCCCAACTCTAAGACCTTCCAGAAACCACACACACTAGGGAGGCAGTGAACGGTCAGTGGTTACCTAGGAGGGAGGGCAGGCGGGTGGGCAGAGCACGGGCCAGCGAGCTCGGGGAGATGCCCTCTGTGACACTGTAACCGTGGGCCCGTGACACCCACCGTGCACTCGCCAGCACCCACAGAACGTCCGCTCAGAGTGCGCCTTCCTGTGCACCATGGACTCCAGTTAATGAGGGTGTGTCAGGACCGGCTCGTCAGGTGTCACAAGTGCACCACTGCCCGGTGTCTCCGTGGGGGGAAGGGTGTGTGCGGGGGTGAGTGTGGGATTCAGTGTGCTGTCCGCTCAGTTACTCTGTAAATCTAAATCTGTACTAAAAATGAAGTCCATTCACCATTAAAAATAACTGTGAAATTCAACTTCCAGTGTCCACAACAAAGTTGTAATCATGGTGGAGCTTAGGAATTGCAACGGAAACACGTGACTGAAAATATTCACTATCTGGACCTTCGCAGAAACTGTTTGCAAAATCCTGCTCTGCATTTCATCACCCAAGTTAAAGGGAGGGGGGCCCGCATCACGAGCTGTCCTGGGCTAATCAGTTCGGTTAAATCACCCAGTTGTCACAGTCACAAGCAGTACTAATTACATAAGCTGACTCTAAATTTAACTGCTCAGCTTCTAACAAACAAAACAAATCAATAAAGTACTCCCAGAAAAACAACCCACAGTCTCCTGAGAAACGCCAGCAGACAGAAGTGTTCCACTCTAGCGCCTGTGAAATCTCTCCAACGTACTCAGCACCCAAGGAGTCAGAATCACATCGTTCCACTGAGAGAAGGTTGCCAACGGTTTGAAGAGAAAGCCTGGAGAACCCGGGAAACGGCACGGCCCGGGAGGGCAGGGCAGGCCCCGACTCCAGGGCCCGAATGCCCCATGGAAGAACACTAAGACCAGCAGCCAGGGGTCGGGTCAGGCAGGACGGCGCAGCCTGGGCACCGGAAGACACACAGAGTGCGGTGCTCTCGGGAAGCGTCCCCACCACGGGCGGCTTCAGAAGCGCCCTGAACGGTCAGCAGTTTACTAGGTGAGACAGCAGCCCTGACGACCCAAGGTGACCGGGGATCTGGGTGAGAATCCCACCTGTAGACACAGCTTCCGGAAGTGGTCCAGCACAGAGACCGCAGCGCAGGCTGCGGAGGCGGGCAAGCCTGCTCCTGGTCCTGCTTCTGCCACTCACTGGCCGAGCACCAAGCACTCCTCCCCTCTCAGCCTCAGTTTACTCGTCTGGGAAACAACAGAACTCACTGCCCTGCTGGGGGATCAAGCTCAATGCTGCGCACAGGCGTTCACCGGGGTGCCTCACACAAATTCTGGGTGGCACCTGCTCCTGTTCTGCTGTCGAGCCTCAGAAAATACTCTTGGAATAGGCAGTCAAGTTCTTCCAGCAGCTCCTAGAAAATCTACCCAAGGGTTGAAACAAATCTTAACAGCACATAATCTAAAAGAAGTCCTGCCTTTGGAAAACCAAGTGAGGACTTCAGCTCAGTAAATGGAACTGAGCTCACACTCTTGCTACTGGGCATGGTGGTCCAAGGGGAAAGATGAAGGCCGTCTGGGTTACCTCCAAACTCCAAGGGGTGGGGGGAGATGGTGCAGGCTCAGTGGCCCCTCCGGGACCTACACAGTCCCCGATTCCCAAGGAAGCTGGAGAGCAGTACTGGCCTTAGGGCTCCGGATCACGAGGTGGACTTGGTTCCTCCGCGATGACCCCTTCACCCCTCCCCCGCCACAAAACCTGACAAACTCTGCGAATGAACTGCGTGTAACCAGGCAGCCCCCAGCTTTATCTGGGGAGCAGTGAAGGCTACACGGCGTGTGGGTCCACCCAGGTGAGCGGCCCGCGGCCAGGCGCACGGGTCTCTGCTTCTCTGCTAAGACAAACGACCTCAGCCCGGAGCCACAGTGGACGCTGCCAGACGAGCATCTGCTGCACACTCATTCTCGCGCACACACGCACACACGTGTACAGACACGCACACACGTGTACAGACACACACACGTACACATAGTGCACAAGTGTGAGGTACAAACGCGCACAGCACACGGACGGACACAGACACGTGCACAGACGTGCAAACACAGGAGCGCGCCCGCGCGCACGACCATCAGGCACGCGCAAGCACGTACCCATGTAGAACACAGGGTAGCACAGGTACACATACACACGTACGGCCCTGCGCGCGAGGACTCGTGCAGCACATAGGTACGCGCCGGCACACACACACAGAGACACAGAGACACACGTACAACCACGCGCCCACACTCCGCGGCAGTCACCCATCCCACGCTCCGCCACAGCGCTCCGGCCCCACGCCGCCGCGAATGACGCCGTCCTCGCCCCACAGAACCCCGCCCTACGAACCCCGGCCTGGTACGCGCCCAGGGGCCAGTGACACCGACAGTCCTCCCCCTCAGCAGCCGGCCGGCCACCCGCCGGCCCCCCAGGACCACGGACGCGAGCCACGCGCGGACTCGCTCCGGCAGACCGTCCCCACCTGTCACCGCCGTGGGCGGGGAGGGAGAAGCCCAGCCTCCCGGCCCTTCCTCGCACCCCACTCACCCCAATCCTCATCCGGCCGCAGGGCGAGCCCCGGGCTGAAGGGCGACTCCATGGTGCGGGCGGCGCGCCCGCGCCCCCAAACACGCGCTCCGGTTCCTGGAACTCAGCGACTAACGCCGGGACGGCGGCGACCAGCGGACAAAATGCAGCGCAACGCGCGGGCGCGACGGTGGCCGAAGGCGGACAAACCGCCTCAGCGCGCGAGGATCCCGTGCGAACCCGAGAGCGGACGTCCCGATCCGGCGACTCTGATCGCTCCGCTCCCTTCCGAGCTGGCAGCACTCTCCGTCCCGCTGTTCGGAGGGGAAAAGGAGACACGTGGTAAACAGCGCGCCGCTGAAACAAAAGCTATCGATAACATTCAAACGGAAAAGTCCATTCCCTCCTCTAATACTAAGCACGCTGCCGGGGGGTACTGGGAGGACCGGGCGACCCCTCCGTAAGTTACGTAATTGTCTGACCGCCGAGCGGTACACCCGAACCAGTGGCGAATAGTTCCCAACGTCCACTGAGGCTGAAAAATTAGAATTAAACCAGGAAAAGTGATGTCGCGCCGCGAACACGCGGGCTGGCTCCCTGAAAACGCCCGTCCTCGCAGGACCTCCCGGCCGCCCTGGAGGCGGAGAGCGAGTCGGGTGCAGGGTTTCCGAGGAACCCGCGGTCTACGCACCAGTCCTCCGCGGGGTGGCGGGGTCGCGGGGAGAGAAAGGCGCCCCGCACGGAGCCCCGGCCCGACCGCGAGGAGGACGGACGCGCGCAAACCAGCAACGGGGTCGGTCCCCGCGCCCAGGACGGGGAGGGCGACTCCGGGCCGGCGCGCCTCCACGCCGAGGTGCATTCCCTACCTTTTCAGGACCGAAACTCGGTTTCGGGCAGAAAAAGAGATCAACTCCGACCTAACTAACACTCACCTGAGTTTTACAAAACAGTTTCGAGAACGCCGCTGAATGGGATTTGTTCTTAACGCGTGTTCAGCGGGCAAAGTTTAAAACGCCCTCACCTTAAGAACACGTATCCCTTACCGCCCAGCGCAGTCTTTCCCACGGCCAAAAAAAAAAACAAAAAACACCGCTTCCCAGAACCCTCCGCGCGCCTGGTGGGGCGGTTGCCGCGGATTGCGTCGTCCGCCACCTGGAAACAGCTGGGGGCCCCCGCCCAGAGGGACCCCCCGCCCCCCGCCCCCGCCCCCCGCCGCCCCCCCCGCCGCCCCCCCTCCGCAGGTCCCCTTGCTGGACCTGGATTCTTGCGCGCATCGGTTGCCTGACCGCTGTTCATTAGGGTGTCGTTCACAACACTTTTATTCTCATGCAACTGCAAGTTCAAAAGTCGTCATGAAAACTAAAATCAAACCAGCAAAAGTTCTCTATTCTGTATCCACCCGACACCTTTTTTTTTTCCCACCGCCGTCTTTTTTAAATCACCGTGACTGAACTCCGGCAAGTTGGTTTTTTTTTTTAATTGTTATTCAAGTACAGTTTTCTGTAATTTTTTAACTTTCAAAAATGTTATCTTTTATTCAGAGATGATTATGAAATGAACACTTGTGTACCTATCACCAAAGACGAACAAATAAATATTAACACTTTCTATTTTCGCTTTCATAATGTAAGAAATTAAACACTAAACACAATGAAGTTAAACCTCACTTTTCCTTCCATCCACATAGGCAACGTCTTTATGAATTTTATGGGAATCATTCATTTTTATTTTTTATTTTATATGTTTAAATATGTTTATAGATACATATATTTAATGTGGTTTGGGGTGTTTTAAGAATAACGTAAATGTACTATGCTCTATTTTCCAAATCACTTTTCTTCTTCAACATCACTTCTGGATGATCTATCCATATGTAAACTGTTATATGGTATTTCCTTAAATTATATCACATTTTATATCTTCATTTTCCTGGTGGACATATGAATTGTTCAGTTTTTCACTGTTCCACAAAGTATATTTGTGTGTGAGTCTCCTCATGCATACATGAGGCATGTCTAAGATACATGCTAGGTCACGGAGTAGGAGTATTAATATTCGCCAAATTGAACCAGTTTGCATCCTGGCTGGCAGTGATGAGTCCCCTTCGCTCCACACTCTCACCCATACTAGACCTAGTCATACTTTTGTTTGTGAACGGTGTGTCTACAATTTACAATTTCCCAACAAGTACAGCTGTGACGCACCTTTCCATGCTCCTTAAACCTTACTTCCCTTCTGAGAATTTCCCATCCTTCTCTTTTATAAAATTTGCTGCTGAATTTCTATCACCGGTACATCGTTAAGACGGCTCACTCTGTTCCTTTAACTGGTGTGTGTGTGTGAATCCCTCCCAGTCCAACATGTCTTTGTTTACAGGGTTTTCGTCCTGTAGGTTTCCATTTCTGTGCAGTCAACATTTATCCATCTTTTTTTTTCTTATGATCTCTGCTATTTCTATCTTGCTAAAGAAACCCTTCCCACTCCTGAGGTCATTAAGATTTTTAAAATATTCTTTTCATAATTTTAGGGGTTTTTGCACATTTTTCTAATTTGGTTATTGCTGGGGTATAGTAAATTATTGATTTTTATACAGTAAATTTGTATCCAAAACTCCTGCTGAATTATGTGATTCTATTATTGTCTGAAAATTTTCTAGGATTTTCTATGTAGAGTAACTTGTATGCAAACACTAACATGATAAAGTCTGGTTTATGTAACATTGTGACCTTTTTAAAAATTAACCTTCAATGTAGAAAATCTTAAACATACAGGACAGGAACCTGTCACTTGTCCTGCAGAAGTTCCCACACGGTGGTTCTGCTGGTTGTGTCCTCATGGCAATTTGTCCCTGTAAACTGCCAGTTAGATCTAGAACTTAGATTAGATGGTTTTGCTTTTGTTACTTTTCTCTAAAATTTGCAAGAATACTTCACAGCATCCTATCGGGAGGCACATAATTTCTAATTATCTCACTTTTAGAAAAGTTAAGATTTATTGGTCAGGCTTTTTTCTTTTTAAGTCTGCAACTTTTTCTTCTTCTTTTATTGCAATGGCTAGGACCACTACTACAGTACTGACAGTACAGGCAATAGTAAGCATCTTTTTCCTTGTCCCCAGCTTTAACATGAATATTTTAAGTTTTACCATTAAATAAGACTTCTTTTCTGGATGAAAAATTGAAAATAAAAGTAGTCTGAACCCTGCAAATATTGGTGGGGTGTCCAACTAGTGGATTTATAACTATTTTTAAAAATGCATTACACCCAGGCTGGTGTAGCTCAGTGGATTGAGTGCGGGCTGGGAACCAAAGTGTCGCAGGTTCGATTCCCAGTCAGGGCACATGCCTGGGTTGCAGGCCATGGCCCCCAGCAACCGCACATGGATGTTTCTCTCTCTCTTTCTCCCTCCCTTCCCTCTCTAAAAATAAATAAAATCTTTTTAAAAAAGCTTTAAAAAATTGCATTTCACCAGTTCTACTAGATTTTACATTTTCAGTAAGACGTCTTCAAGACACGTATCACCCTGAAGTGGGAACCCAAGCACAGAACAGAGAGGTTAGGAGCGCAGATTTGGGAGTGAGACAGATCTTGGTTCTGGTGTAGGTTCAACCATTTGCTAGCAATGCAACTTGGAGGAAGTGGCTTACTCCTAAGCTCCAACTTCACCTGTACACTGGGAAGAACAGGATCGATTTCAAAGGGCTGTTGTGAGGATGAAACTGGATGGCACTCATTAAGTGCGTAGCGTAGTGACTGGCACGTGGTAAGTGTTCAATAAAGTGCAGCTGCTTTCAAGGACGAACTGTCGCATGCTGCTTGCTAGGCATCATCCCAAATCCTTTACGTGCGTCGTATCACAAAAATCCTCACGACCTGAACGTGGACACCAGGAGCATCTTCATTTTGCGTAAGAAAGAATGAAGGCTCGAGCAAGTGAAACGACCCTGTAAGGAGAGGCCCTCGGTTTTCAAAAGGACCGCTTGCTCACTCCCAGGAAGAGCCAGCATTGCCAGCGCCCAGGGCCTCACTTCCTGTCAGTGCTGTTTCCCCTGCCCTGAGCCTTGGAAATGGGTCATGTCGCTGCTCACGGCAGATGTGTAAACCCAAACGCTCTGAGCTGGTTTCCCAAATATCAAAAAAGGAACAGTTCCAATTGTTTTTGTTCTTAGAACAAAGGCCAAGGCATTTTCTTTCTACCTACCCCCCAAAAGGTAACCATTAAAGGACTTTAAATCTGAAAATTCTGTTTAGTGTTTCACAAAACTTCCAAATCCACATGAAGTTTCCCCCAACGCACGCCTCACTGGCAAATACAAAATATCTTTCAAAAGAATGTATTCTTGTGCCTGTATCTCCCGGCTACACTATAGATTCCCAGAAGGCAGGGGTTTCCCTAGTTTGTTCACTACGTCACCCAGGGCAGCGTACACACGGGTGCTCAGACCAGCGTACACACGGGTGCTCAGACCAGCGTACACACGGGTGCTTGGGTCAGCGTACACACAGGTGCTCAGGTCAGCATACACACGGGTGCTCAGACCAGCATACACACGGGTGCTCAGACCAGCGTACACACGGGTGCTTGGGTCAGCGTACACACAGGTGCTTGGGTCAGCGTACACACAGGTGCTCAGGTCAGCATACACACAGGTGCCCAGGAAACATGGGGTGCAGCAAGAACAGGCCTTGCGGTTGTTCGTGTAGAAAATAACTGATGTCACAATAATACAAGAGTCAACTGCGTCTTGCTTCCTCACAGCTATCAATCTACTTTCGCTCCGCCCTGTATTTCCTGAACTGGCAAAGGTAAACTTAAGTAAAATCTATGTAAGTTTCTCAGTGCTGTGCGACAGAGAGGTGTTCATTGGAGCCACATGAAACTGCGGCAACTCACGACGTTTCACCTCCGGAGACGGCAGCTTCATGTGGCTCTGCCCAGCTGGTTTTCAAAGGCTTTCTACAGTGCAGTATCATGAAGCACAGTGTGAAGGCTAGGGCAGAAATGGAGAAATTTATTCTCCTAAGAAAAATGTATTCGACAGGAGTTGCCGAAGGCTTCAGGCCATGTGTTGAGATCCCCCACCTCCCACACAACCAAAAACACATGCGGCATTTGGCAGGATCATTCCCACTGCTCGGGTCTGCATCTGAAACACTGCCCGCTCGCTCTGGTGTCTGTATTCACACAGACACACTCACACATGTAAATACGCGAAATGTCTTAAGAACATGGGCTCTGTTTCTCTTTATTGCCTAAGTCTGATTTCATGGAAGTGTTCAAGTATCTAATTTGGTCCAATTCCAACTATTTGTAATGAGTTAAAGAGTTCCAATTTCCAGAAATCACGCTGACAAGGTAACCTGGACACATTCCCTTCTAGCACTCTAACTCATCAAGCTTAAGAAGTCACTGATCAGCAGCTGTTCCACACTTATTTTCCTTGTCGCTAGAAACACACCTAACATCAGTGTGTTTCAGCAGACGGCTTAACTAGGCATCTCAAACACACTTTTCTAAAATACTAGGTAACTGAGCTTCCTGCAGCGACTGACAGAAAAGCCCCACTGAAACGAGGGTTTCCCTCGTGGCCTTTCCAGCTACATTTCCCAAAAATCCAGCCATGCAGAGATTTACTGTCCCTTAAAAGAGAGGGAGAGCAATAAATGTCCAACTAGATCCCAACGGATCTGCTCTACACCCCCCGACATAAAAGAACAGCTCGCCGGTTCGATTCCCAGACAGGGCACACGCCTGGGGTGCGGCCCTGGTCCCCACGAGGGGCATATGCAAGGGGCAACCGATCGACGTTTCTCTCCCTCTCTCTAAAACTAAATAAATAAAACAGAAATTATCTGGATTATAGAAGATTTTAATATCAAATAAAGTATAATTTACGAGACCGAAAAGTTTTGACTTCCATGTGAAGTATTCTACTTAACCACAGTGTCCAAGTCACATCGCGTGGTTTCATCTTCTCACATTTCCGGTGAACGCTGACGGCCCAAACGCCAGACGTTCTGTGTGAACGGCGAGAAGCCAGGAGCCCGTGTGGACCGGCCAGTCCCTCTCCAGCTGGGAAGCGTCGCCAGTTCACGCTCTTCTCGCCGGTGGCCCCAGGGCGGGCAGCGCTTTCACCTCGTCCACCCGGTTCTTGTGGATCTGGAAGGCGGGCGTTACCCACCTGCCGCAGGAGCACTGCTCGCCGCACCAGTTGAAAGACCCCAGCTTGGCGTGGCATTTGGGGCACAGAAGCTGAAATCAAGCGAATGAATTACTTCATTCATTCACTTTTGTACAGAGCAATTCTCGCTGGCACCATAGGATATAAAAACAAGACACAGCCTGTACCTTCAAGAAGTCCATGACCTCATCAGTGAGATAAGATGGTACGCGACTGACTACAACGGCTGTGGGAAGAAGCACGTTGTACCCTGGCAGGTCCTCGGAAAAACTGACTAATTAGAGCTCAAGGGAGGAACGGTCAAGCATCAGACGTGAAACACGAGGTTTCATGGATGTGGCACGTGTGCTGGCCTTTAGGCCAGTCTGCCCGTGGAGATTTCAAACGAAAACCATCACAGCTGAAGGGCAGGAAGTCATGTTAGGATTGGCACGGCCTATTCCTTGCTGGGACCAACAGCCTATAGCTCAGCCCTCAGATCCCTGCCTGCTGAAAAACAAACAAACTGATACTCCAGGAAAACCGATCAGTCCAAAAATGCTTAACAAGTTTATTCTATCTGCTTCCAGCGTATCTACAGCAAAACTCTAGTTAAAATATGGTTTAAAATGCAAGAAGAAACAACATGTAAGCGACTCGATGAAGCTAGAAGATAAGGCGAGTCCTCACCTGTCCGTCCATCACTCCCAGCAGGGCGGGCTCCATCCACTGCACAGGCTCCACGAAGTGCGAGGTGCAGGGGGCGGGGCCCCCCGAGATGCGCGGGAGAGCTGGCGCTGGTCTCTTGTGGGCAAAGGCCACGGGCCCACTTCCTTCCTTGTGGTCCAAAATGCTGGAACTTCGAAATAAAGAGCGCCTGCAGCCCCCAAACAAAACAGAACAAAAAGAAAAGGGAAAACAGATGAAACGTGCAGTACTCCCTGAAGGACAAAACAATGGACACTGACTGTGCTGCTTTAATTTTCGACAGTCCCTACCAGCGACCTGATTGCTTTTACCGCTGAGAACTGACGTTCTTGAAAGCAGATTCAAATCTGAAATGTCTGTAGCATCCGGCTAAGCAAAGCCTTCCCACAGAGATGTAAGAAACTGAAATTTTCCACACCCTTCAGCTGCAAAGACAAGGTAAAAATCTCTGGAAAATACAAACTATTTTACCTGCACTTCCTGCATTTATAGAGAACCTCATCGTTCGGTCCTGGTGAAACCGTCGTCGGGTCGACTGCGAAGAGTTCTTGAGGTAAGTTCTGCAGCTCTACACGACAATGAAAATGTGTCCATTGGTTGAAATCAACTCTGCATTTTCAGACAAAATTCAATTAATGTCAGGATGAGGCAACAAACGCTAACCTCAGAAATTTAAACAAACAAACAAAAACAGGCCTCCAGCTTTGAGGAAGCAGGATGAGCCAGGAGAACCCTCAGGTTCTGGGCACTGGCTGCCTGAGCTCAAATCCCAGCCCACCCCTCACAATCCGCTGTGACCTAGAACTAGGTATTTTTTGCTAAACCGCAGTGCAGAAAGGAAAAGGGATTGCTGGAAAATGAGATAATGCACCAGCTTCTAGAAAGGTCCCAATACATACTAGCAACTATTACTAACCTGGATACTTCTCTGTAACCTTTTGTAAACGGTACTGTTTATAAACCGCACTGGAGGTGTCCACTTCGCACCCCATGGCCTGGTATAACCTCAGCTGCCACTCAAACCCCTCATTCATCCTGAAAGGGCAAACACAAAGCTAAGTTTTCTTTAAAGAAATAAAAACACACCACAAAAGCAGAACGATTATGCCCACCAAAAGCTCACTTAGCCGCGGGCTGGATCGTCTGGAGGTTTTCGTAGGCTTTTTCAAAGGAGAGCTGCTCAGTCTTCATCAGAAAGGCGGTCATTACAGCCACACTTCGACTGACTCCGGCATGACTTAACATGAAGTAGAAAACAGCAGCACTTTAAAAAACAAACAAACAAACAAACAAACAACACAGCAGTATCCTACTAACGGTAAATTTCAGGCCCAGGGTCTGCTTCAAACGCTTTGCCTCTGAAATACTTCCCACGTGCAGAAGAATTATTCCTTCATGCCCTCACTCCTTTTGAATTGTGAACCATGTGCGTGTATCAGGGAGCTATCCAAATGGAATTACAGTGATTTTTTAAATTTCACAGTGGCTGCGGAACATCTCCTGGGCTGCTGGCGGGAAGGGCCCAGGAGACCTGGGCTCGGGCTGCCCTCCGGTCCCCCGCGTCGTCCAGACTCCGCGAGTTCTGCCGCGGATGTCACGCTGCAACCCGGCCCGAAGGGGTCGCCGAGGGCCCCCAAGCACCCGTCACGGCCGCCCCCTCTCCGCCCAGGGCACGGCTCGGGGACCCCGTGTGTCCTCGGCGACCGTTCCCTCCCGATTCCGCTGCACCGGCCCCCGCGCCCGGGACCCACCGAACACCCCGCGGCCGGCGCGGGAGCCTCCGGCGCGCCCCCGCCCGCGTCGCCGTCACCGCCCGGGCCTCGTCCGCTGAGGACCCCACCCCCACCCCCACCCCCACCCCAGAAGAGCTGCCGAGCGAACCCTCCGGCCGGGCGCGCACGGCTGAGGCCCCCCGCGAGCCCGCTCACCAGCGCACCAGCACCCCGCGGCCCTCGGCGCGCGCCTGGAGCACGAAGGCCACGCAGCGGTCCAGGCGGCTCAGCAGGTCCGTCCCGGGCTCGTCCAGCGCGGGCACGAAGAGCTGCCGCAGGTCCGGCGCCTGCAGGGCGGGCTCCTCCGCGTCCACCGTCAGCACGGCCCCGACGCCCGCCTCCCTCAGGCCGCCCGGCTCCGCCGCGGCCGCCGCCCCGCCCAGGTACAGCCCGGGCCGCACCTGCAGCATCCCGGCCGCGGCCGACGTGGTGGCGCCCCGGCCTGCGGCGGCGCCTGCCACCGAGGGGCGGCTGCCGCGGCTAGAGCGGCCCCGCCGCCCGCACTGCGCAGCAGCGCCCTCGGAGGACCCGGCCGTGCGCGGCAGTGCGGCCCCGGGGGAGCGCTGGTTCCGCCCGGACCCCCGGCCGATCCCAACTTCGAGCGCAGAAGAAACCTCCCCAAACGCGAGGCTCCTCGGCATTTGGAGCTGGGACCCCCCGCCCTTTCCGCAGCAGCCATCGAAGTCGGCTTCGAAACGCTGGTCCCGCCGACGGAATCAGCAGCATCGTTTCATGCATTTAAAGTAGAATGTTGCTTCCAGTGCTTCTAGAGCCATTGTTTGCAGTTCCTCTCCTGCTATTCCTTTCCCCGTCTTTTGCCCAGTTTTTCACTGGTGCGTGAATCCTGTTCTGTTGCTCTCTGCTGTTCTATATTTTAAGGTATTAATCCCGTGTCTTTTCAAGAAAGATGGGGCCACGGCCAGAGGGAAACCTGGACTAAAGGGATGTTTCTTTTTCTCCCCCCTCACCCCGCAGGAAGACTTCAACCTTTTTTTTAAAGTACAGGGAAAACCAGGACAGAGGGAGGAGCCACAGACACAGGGCGCCGGGACGAATTGAGGGGCGGGGAGGTGCAGGTGCAAGGCGGCAGGAAGTCACAGGAGCTCTCTTCTGATGGCTCCTTTTTCTGGGTGAAGAACCCAGTTCACACGCTGAGAGTGAGGACAGAGGTTTGAGGAGAATAGCCAGCTTCAGGGGGGAAATGCCTGAAAAGATTGGAGAATATACGTGGAAGCTGACCTGTGGCATTGTCACGGGGGAGGGGCCTGGACAGAGGCAGGTCTCCCCCGCACAGTCTGCAGTGCGTGGGTGCTCGACTTCCTGCAGGAAAGAATGCAAGGCAGGGGTCCAGGTGAGTCTGAAAGCACGTTTACTAAAGCTGGAGGCGGTGAGAGGCAAGATCACAGCAGCCGGAGTGAGCCACGCTGGGCTTCGTGGGCTCGGGACACAAGTTACCCCTGAGGCAAGAGGAGGGCCCTTGGGGGCGGGTCCAGGGGGTGAGCCCAGGGCAAGCTGCCCTGCTCACTGCTCTTGTGGGGTCCCTCAGAGTCAGGAGAGAGAAAGCCAAAGCCCATGCCTGGGAAAGGGGGGTGCAGGTAGGCTCAAGGGAGAGCCCACACTGAGTCCTTTGTCTTGGGGGCTCTTATCTGCTTTCTGAAGGCGGGACTTTTAGGGGAGACCTCAGGGAAGGTCTCTACAGACTGTTCAACAGCGTCCAGGTGGGTTCTTCAGCATGCTGATGCATCAAAATGTGCGTATAGGGAGTCTGGGGTCATTCTCTGGCCAGGTTCACTGCTTCGCTTTTATCTTGGATGCGTGTGACTCTAACTGGTTTGTTGGTTTGTTTGTTGGTTTGTTTGCTTATTCCCCTGACTTCCCCCGTGCCGGGGTCTGGCGGCACTCATGGCACTGACCGGGTCTCTGTTCTCTCTCCCCGCCCGGGGTGGTTGAGGCTCCTTGCCCTCTGGCTGGGGAGGAGAGGTACACACCGTCTGCTCCCAAGAGTCCTGGTCTGCGAAGATAAGATCTTTCGATTTATTACCGGGCTGTGAATTGCTCAACTTTGTTTAACTCCCTTGTCTCAGTTCTCCTCATTCCACTTGCCCAGGAACTCCCTGGCTTCTTCCCACCCTGCCTCAGCAGGCAGCCAGGGGCCGGGCAGCATTCGCCAGTCAGCGACCAGGTCACGGAGACAAAGGGCTTCCGTGCAACGAGGGGTTGACCCCGAGGGCCCAGTGGCTGCAGCTCTGCGCATTCCAGAAAGCCTGTTTTCTGGAAGACTGGCCTGACCGGCTCCGGCTCCGGGAGATGACCCTGGGGCCTGCTGAGGTGCCTGCTGGTCAGACCCCTGGGGGCTGCAGTGATGAGGTTGGGTGTGCCTCTGTGACTGTCCCCCAGGGAAGGCCCTGAACCCCAGGCTTCAGTGAGCTTCCTGTTGGGCAAAATTTTTAAAAAATGCTGAAAGATGTTTCCCAAAGTGTCCAGTGGTTATTTCTGGGAGCTGGCATGTGGGAGTCCTATGACAGGATTTGTACGACTTCTCTCCGTGTAGTTTTTATTTCTTTCGACCAGTATTATTAAAACGGCTTACTGTTGGCAATGATAGATATTTATATTCTGGAACAGGGAGGGAGGGAAACTGTTAAGGGTTCATGTCTCGGACATTTTATTAAGGATCCTAAGCATTCCCTCAACTTTATTGGTTTTCTGTTCGAAGTGAGCTTTCCCTGCTCAGCTCCCTCAGATGACCGGAAGCTCCTTCAAGGATGGGAGTAGGCACGTGTCTGAATTGTCAGTGAATTGTTACCCAGGGAGCCTGGACAAGTGTGGAAACTGGGCTCATAGAACATGCCTTCGTTGGAGGCCGAAGTGTCTTTTCCAGTGTCTGTATTTGTACTCTTGACCACTAGGTGGCGCCATTTCTCTTTCCAGGAGATGAACGAGAGGGACTCCCCCCCCCCCCACAAAAAACTGGAATTTATTTATAAAAATTGTGTATTCATTCTTACATGCCTAAACTTCAGTCACCTTCAAAGTACTCTGCATTTGAAGCAATACACCTATCGAGACTTTTTTCCCACTGCTCAAAACCATTTTCGAACTCATCAATTTTGATGTCTTTTAGTGCTTCTGCTGTTTCCACTTTGGCAAAACGTTTCCCTCTGAGGACTTTCCTCATCCGGGAAATAACAAAAGTGGCCGCGGCTGAGATCAGGTGAATAGGGAGGGTAGGGCACGGGGTCCATGCCCGTGCCGTTTTGGGTCAAAAACTGCTGAACACTCAGTGTGGTGCGGGCAGGGGTGCTTGTAAATCGCCGATCGTGAAATGGGCAAAGGCGTTGAAAGAGTCTTCAAAAAAAATTCGCTGAAGCTGAACGCAGCCTCTCACAACAACGCCAGCTGGTGCACGGACACAGGTGGGTTCCCAGAGCACTCACCAGGTGGGGGACGTCTGTAGGACAAGGGGCCTGCCCCGAAGATAATTCTGGGTTTGGGGGGGGTCTCCCCTTGTGTTTTCAGCACCTCCCTTGAAAGAGGGGGAAATGAACGCGGGAGCCTGTAAGAAGAGCAGGTTGGGTCTAGGGAAGGAAATGCCATGTTCAGGGAGGGGCTGGGTTGCGTCCTGTCGAGGAGAGGACGCAGACCCTCGGTCCTTGGGTTAGCACACACACCACGCGCACTCCCATTTTATCGCGGGCACACCGCAAGCTTGACAAGCCCGGGTTAAGTGAAAAATTCTCACAATCGCAAAAAGACCATGGATATGTTGTCGCTTGCGTGCGAAGAAGACACCCATTTCGAGTGACGTGGCCTGAGCACCTCCCCAACTCCCCACCCTTTGGCCACAGTCACATGTGTGATTTTCATGTTCATTTTCATGTTTCAAAACGTGTGCTGGGAAATGTGTGGGGAAATTTCCCCTCCCCGTCCCGTCACCTCCCCATCGCAGCCCAGGTTCCTCTTTCCGACTCCAGCCCACTGTCCAGACCTGCCCACACCCACTGAGTCACCAGCAAGTGTTTGGGGGGGGGGAAGCTCCTGGACACTCGGGAAGAAGCACACGGAACCTACTTCGAGGCCTTTGAATAAAAAAGGTATAAATGCGCGGTAACAACATATTCTGCCGTTTTTTTCTGTGCTTGTGAACAGTGGTGAGCTCAGATCGTCTCGGGGCCACAGTCTGAAGCCAGAGGAAACCTCGGTCGGAGGGCAGAGTGGCGTCCGGCTCAGCGCCTCCTGACGTGTGTCCATGTGCCTTCAGAACACTGTGTGACTTCTCTGAGTATCGGTTCCTTCTGCTGCAGCACACATAGGAGGCGGTGCGGGCCCTATGCAGAGTTTTAACGAGCATCCGCTGTCACCCTGTTGTCACCACTGGTGTCCAGCTGGACAGATGCTGAGACTAGACACGCAGCTGGAGAACCCGGGGAGCGGGACCCTCTTCGCTTCCCGCGGACACTCCGGCCTCCCACCCTCGGGGGATCGTAGGGCTCACTGTGCTCCGCCAAGTGGGGTGAACGCTCGTCCCTCCCCCCCTCTGGCACCGGGTTCTGGGGGTGGGGAGCAGGGCACAGGAGTCAGTCTAACTGGGTAGTGGGCCCATCAGAGCCGCTGAAAGCTTGGGGTGTTGATGGGTCACTTACACGGTCGGTCCCCACCCCCAGCTCCTGCTCATAACCCCAGGGGCACGAAGAAGCTCTCTCTCTTGGGTGTGACCCGCACTCACACGGAGCACTCGCCTGTCCACTCCACAGCCACGGGGGCTCACACACAAGCTGAGGGGGCGGGGGTGGGGTTGTATGCAGCAGCACGGCCGTGGGTGGCAGCTGCAAACACACGCTAAGCTGGCCGGAGGCTGGACAGGACTGGACTGGACTGGACTTTCCTACGGAGCAGAAATCCTGGGCGCTGGCCCCCGTCTGTCCTGGCCGTACTGAAGACGAGGCTGGCCTTCTTCCACGGGGAGACGGACCGGGATGGGACGGCGGAAGTCAGGAGAGGAAGCCCCTTCGTTGCACATCGTCGCCAAACCACCGGCCCTCCCACGTGGGGCTCAGGAAATCCTTTCGCTCCCGACACCGCAAGAACCCCCACTGTCACCACCGGGGGAGAAAGACGGCCCGGGCTGAGCCCCTGCTCCCGAGGCAGCTCAGAGGGTCAGAGCAGAGGCCGAGCGGGGGCGGGAGGGTCGCTGCCCTGCTGGGAAGCTGTGGAGCAGACAGGAACCCCTGAACCCGGGCAGCCCGGGGACCCATGCTGCCGACCACGAAGGGGAAGCCGGCCCCAACCGCCCACCCTGCTGCCACTGAGTGTCTCAGTCCAGCCACTGGTTTAGCGCCCGCGTCCCGGTGAAGATGCGCCCCCCTTCCCTAGAAGGGCGCTTATCGTCGGGGTTCTGAGGGAGCAGCCTCAGCTCCACAAACTCGGGGACCAGAGGGGACAGGAG